GGGTGGATACAAATGCTTTAATGTCTGAATATACATTTCCTGTAGCATGTCAAGCCTTTCCTGCACAACTTGATCTCAATTTAAAGTTGATGACAAAAGCCATAGTGAAAAGACTCCAAATTTCTGACCCCCTCAGTAGAAAGTTGTAGATTAATCGTAGTGCAGTCAAAAACATTTCACTGGAATTATTTTGGCTTCTTTGCACCTGCGTTAACTGCCTTATTTGGGAAATTCAGAACTTCAGTCAGTATAAGACTTTCAGCAGAATGTATTCACATATGCACATTGCAAGTCTTTCTCTGAGTGACTTAACTTTTATGAATACAGACTATATTAAAGAGGGACAAAATAATGTAGGTTTGGTTGTTTGCACTTTGAGGACTTCTTCTGGGTAACAACTAAAATGTTGCCACTATTATGTGCTGACTAATAAGAACTCCACAGGATTATTTGCAAACTGCTTACTCTGGATTGCACTACCTTTATGCTGCTCCTTTCTGGATTTTTCAGCCCCATTTTAGTTGGGTATTTACTTCAATTGAATGAGTGAACCTCATATTTCATTTTTTGCTCCCCACTCCCTGTAGAATGCTTCCCTCCCCCAGAGTGTTATCCCCACCACAGTTTTGAACTTACCCCAAACTCTGTCACTAAGATGTCTGTGATGCTACCCAGAACTGTGACAAAATCAAAGATATTCCAGGCATCACGGAAATAATTCTATAAAGGAAGAACAAAACAAAGGACGAAAAGGAACAGCCACACAGCAGCAAACAGGTGACAACATTCAGTCACGACGGAAGCAACAGCAACAAGAACAGAGAAATCACCACCCTAACTACTCCACCTCCCCTCCCCCCAACCATCTCCGGTTGACCTTTCAGATAAACTACATTTCTTGTGATGGGGATTACAAAATAAAATGTAAATAACTTTATGAATCTTCATTCTGTCAACATAGTAATTTGTGTTCATGAAATAGGGTAAACAAAAAGGGATGTCTTACTTTACACACTGTGGTCCCATGGAATCATTTCATTGTCCACCAACGGCTTTAGCAAGAGTGAAATTAGGATAAGAGAAAGGTAAGGCTTGCTTGCAAGCTGCTCCCTATGAGTGCTTGAGGCAATGCTCTTACCCTCTAAGGCCTGTGGAACTCTCAGGCAAGGAGCTAACCAACAACTATGTACCCTTCTCTCCCTCACCTTCTTTGCATGGATAGTCACAAGAGCAGCTATAAAAATAAGGACAATGCATATAAGCCCAAAAGTATGATTCCTCCAGCAATTGATTCCCTTTTTAGCCGGACTTCTCCAAGGGGTGAAAACCAGTTTTCTTCCAAATCTGACTAAACAAACCTCTTACAGAGATCTTACATCAGCTCATAAAATCAAATAAATACCAAATAGTAAGGCTTGGGATCAAAACATGTTCTTGAATGATCCCTTGCCAGCAGCATCCAGGTTTAGTAGAGAGTGAATCAGAGTAGAGCAGTGGTTCTCAAACTGTGCTCCTTCGCGTGTTTTGGATGTCAGCTCCCAGAAATCCCAGCCAGCTTACCAGCTGTTAGGAATTGTGGGAGGTGAAGTCCAAAACATCTGGAGAACAGTTTGAGAACCACTGGAGTAGAGGAATGGGAAGTGGAGATCTAAGGCCCCATCTTTAGTACCACAAAATAACCTCTGTCAAGGTGACAAATACTGTTCATTTTCAACTTTTTCTTGCACTTGAGATTGGCAAATAGAGAAGTGGAGTTTGAAGGGGATGGGGATGGCAGCATTCAACAGGTTGGATTTTACCCACAAATCCATTAGGCACTAGCTCCAATGCCCATTAATGTTATGTGCTGTCAAGACAATGTTGATTTATGGTTACCTTATCAATGAGATTACTTTAAAACACCTTTTTATTAGCAGCCTACTCAGGTCTTGCACACTCAGGCCTGTAGTTTCCTTGATATCTATCTATAATGTAGTCTTTGTCCTTTCCTGACACACTTAATGTTACCAAGCATAATTTTTCCAGCAAGTCATAATATGGATAAAGTGCAATGTCCTCAGTTTAGTCATTTTAGTTTCTAAAGTTTTGGGTTGATTTGCTCTTGCGTGCATTTCTTTGTCTTTTTGGTGGCTCCAAAATCTAATTTAGCACCACATTTCAAATAAGTTCTTTTCCTTTCTGCCTGCTTTCTTCACTGACTTGCATCCATATAAGAAAACTGGAATGGCATGGCATGGATGATCCGGCCCAAGCTACCTATCCAACCACATCTCTGCCTATGAACCCACCAGAACTTTGAGATCTTCCGGGGAGGCCCTGCTCTCGATCCCGCCTGCTTCTCAAGCACGGCTGGCGGGGACGAGAGATAGGGCCTTCTCGGTGGTGGCTCCTCGGCTGTGGAACGCCCTTCCCACAGACATTAGACCAGCACCATCGCTAATGGTATTCTGCAAAAAAGTGAAGATCTGGCTGTTTGTGCAGGCGTTCAAATAATTAGTGCAATGATTGGTAAATGAACATAGGAATGGAACAATGGATGACGAATCTGGATTATGTTTTTGATGATGATACGATAGTGATTGGTTATTGTAGTAATTGTTTATTAATTGTGTAATGTGTTAAGTTGTTAACTGTTTTTATACTGTTGCATTAAATTTTTGCTGTCCTTATTGGTTGTGAACCGCTGTGAGTCGCCTTCGGGCTGAGAACAGCGGTATATAAGTAAAGTAAAGTAAGTAAGTAAATAAATAAATAAATAAATGATCCTGACTTAGCATTTAATGATACACTTGATGATCTTATCTAGCTGCACTTTCAAATCTTAAGTATGTGACATCTCTGGTGAATAAACTAAACAGATAGGATGTCAAAATACACCTGATACCCTTGCCAAACAGATCTGACAGTGGTCACTTATTCAGAATATAGGTTTTGTAACATAGTTTTTCATGGTTTATAATGCCCTGCCTAATTTTCTTCTAAAAATGGATAATGGTCAGATTGATAGGTTTTCTACACAGTGCTATTGATATTATTTGGTCAGACTTTTATATCTCTTGAACGCTTTTGCTATTTTTTTTACTTCACTATTAATGTCATACCATTTCTTCTTGTTATTTCCAGAGAAAGAAATATGTAATGTGTCTGAAAATGTTCTATTACTATATATGGCTACCTGTATATTTGTATTTTATTTTAAGAGAACTAGATGTATGTTGTGTATTGCAGGTTGTGTCTGCACTGTTTGTTTTTGATAAGGCCAACTGGCTAATCATTAAAAAATTGTTGTTCTATTACTATCCATATTAGCTTGATCACACAAATGTATATGCTTTTTTTGATTTATAACTTGTAACTTCTTTTCATTCATGCTTCTCATATTCCATGTTTCTATTACATAAGTTGTGCAACTTCAGACTTTCATATCTGGATGTGTCAGCAGTTGAACATTCTTTTGGCTTTAGCTTAGTTGTTATTCATCCTTGTCTTTTGCTGTTCTTTTGTAATTGGTTGAGTGTCATCTGACCTGGGGAGAATCTTCTCTTCTAACAGTATCCCTTGCTTAATTTTGGATTGTCTTACCACGGTGTTTTCATATGAAAAGACATTCAGAAGTATTTTGATGACAAGAATTAGCTAAAGTCCCACTGCCACTGGCCCCATCTACCCTGACCTTCAATGCAGTAGCTTCTTTCTACTGCGTCAAACAAATAGTTTCCCTTCTGGAATCCTGGCACCCTTATCACTGGAACTATCCACAATTTTTTCTGCTGTAGTGACCATTATTCCCTGATAAGAATGGGTGCATCTTAGTCTGGTGTCTTCACTTCGAGCATTTTGCCTTGAGTCATCCTAGCAGGAATTAGTCTTGTAATAACACTGCTTTCAGCCACTCTAATATACTTCTTCCTGTGGTAACTTGTACATTCTATGCTATAGGTATTAATTTTCTTACACAACTTCAGTCTATTCTAAAGAGTTTACATCTGCTATTTAAGTTTCTTTCTGGCCTTCTGTACAGACCATAATGGATATAGGTTGCTTCCCCTACATGGAAATGGAAAAGGTATTCCATTCAAAGGGACCAGCTAGGTACAAACTAAGGAAAAAATGGTGTGCATCTTCAATAAAAAGTCCATAGTAAATATTTCGGTTTCCATTTCAAAATTCTTATTTCAGCAGGGATTTCACTGATCTCTAAAAACTCTTAAAAGAAAAACAAAATTGCTACATATTCATAGGAAGAGTTACATTGATACAGGTCCAGAGGATGCATCTCAAGCCCTTGTTTGTCTAATATCAATGGATTATTTTCCATTTGTATAGCTTGAGTGGCTGGGCAGGATATCTGGAGGTGATAGCCACCGTGTCCATTAGATCCATATTTTAGCTCATTAAAAGCTAGACGGGGGCTGGCTGAACGGGATAAAGGGTGTAGTTATTGCCTCCTTACAAAAGCCTTTGGAAATTAACTACAGTGCAAAAGTAACTACGAAATATGTACAATGGTTTTCAGAATGGCCCTGGATTATGACTGTGGATGGTGTGATTTTACTAGTAATTATAATGTTTATATGTTTTAATGTGATTTTTAACTCTAATTTTAAATGTTTAAATTTTAAATTTTAACTTAAATGTACGTAATTGTTGTTCTCTAAAGGCATCAAATAGTTGCCATTTGTAAAGCTGCCTTTAGTCACCTTTGTGGTAGAGAAAGGTGGGATAGAAATAGAGTAAATAAATAAATAAAAATAAAAATAGTTAATTAAAAAGTGTGTGTTTAAGATTTCTCTTTCCCCTCTACACTAAACAATTATCGACCGATGTCCAACATTCCATTTAGGGAGATGTGATCATCTTCCAGTTCCAAGGATTTCCAGATGAAACTGATTATTTTGATCTATTTCAATCATATTTCAAGACTTGTTATGGAATGGAAATGTCTTTGTCATCTTCACTGGTAACTGCATGAAGAAATGTCGTGTTCTTGGTTCTAACTGGCTTCTAATACCCTCAATTCTAGTATAGTTCTGTGCAACTTTGCAGGGATGGGACTTGGAGGTACTGTTCTAGAGAAGATACTTTCTTCCTCAAAGGTGGTGTTGTGAGATTTCTGATTCCTTGGCTGCTAGCCTAGGGAGTCCCTTAGGGTTCTGCTATTCAATGTATACATGAAACCTCTGGGAGGAACTGTTCAAGGGTTTAGCATCATCGGTATGCTGATGAAACCAAGCTCTCTCCTTACCATCAAAATTCAAGCCATTTTTTGGATGGTGAGGAGAAGGGTTTAAATCACTGCATAGCTTCGGAAATCACTGAATGAAGGCAAATTGAAGCTCATTCCAATCATGACAGAGGTGGTTCTGGTCAGTCGGAAAGTAGCAATATTTCACTGAATCTAAGGCACAATTGAATGTAAGACGCATCCCATTTTTGAAGCTTTGATTTTGGGAAAAGGGAATTTTTAAAGGACATCTTTTAGAATTTCCTCTGCATTCATAATATTGTTTCTTTTCTTTTTTTTGCTTGAAAGTTGTGTTGTTGTTCAATCTTTCCTGTAGGGTGAAATTCATTGCCCGACTTACCGGGCAAGGCCTGTTGGGGTGGGGGGTGCCCTCCCTCTGGCCATGCTGGTAGCAGGGGCTTCTCCTTCCCAGAAGCCCCTGCGTGGCAGGAAGCTTCCCGCCACTGGGGTCAGCTGGCCAACCAGCAGCCAGCCCCACCCAGCTCCTGGCATTGGCCAGGGGCTGGTTGACCCTGTGTCCAGCAGCCTTAAATAGGCTGCGCAGGGCCGAGCAGGTACCAGGCCTGCTTCGAGTTGTTGTAGAGAAGAAAGGAAGTACAAAGAAACCCACAAGTAATCTATCTGCATAAGTTCATAAAGTATTATGTCTATGGGTCCATTGGGGAGGTAGAGAAAGCACGAAGTGGTGCTTAGCAAAAATACCAGTAAGCAGTCATCTGGGTTGGGATAAGGACAAAATGGTGGATCTGTGGCAGAGCTGAGGCTGGGGCCCTCCCTCCTTATCCTCTTCATTCTTGGAGGTAAGTCAGTTTTGCAAGGAAAAAACACCACAAATCTAAGATAACATCAAATCTAAGGCGCACCCTGCTTTCTAAGCCCCTTAAGCTTAGAAAGGTGTTTACAATTCAGTCAGGGGGTGCTGTGGTTTTTAACTTTGAATATGCTTTGATGGATTTTAACTGTGATTTTTTTTAGTGCTGTTTGTGTTTAATTCTGTTTTAAAGTTTGTATATTTATATATTTTAAATTCTGTACTAATGCTTTCATGTCAAGGCCACTTTTGAGTCCCAATAATAATAATAATAATAATAATAATAATAATAATAATAATAATGCAGGAAAAGTACACCTCAGAATTGATAAAATACAGTAAACCGGGAGAAGGGGATTTGGCATATGCTGAATGGGATACACTTAAATGGAAGACATAGATTTATAGTTTGGGTCTATTCCTGGAAGCAGATGTGAGTGTAGGGTTCAAGTTTCTGCTATGTCCAGCAATGCTTTAGTGCATATAAAGTCTAGTGAGGTTATGGCACCTACTAGAAATACCAGATCTGGCTATTATGACAGAATTCATTTTAAGAATGTTTGGAAACAACCTGCTTGTTAACATAGGACTGGTTACAGGGACAAGACAGCTCCTTTGTTACAACAGCTCTACGACTTACTGGTCCATTTCCGGACACAATTCAAAGTGCTTGCTTTTACTTCTAAAGCCTTATACAGGGTATCTGACAGATGATTCTCTCCTTGTATGAGCCTGCCTGAGATTCCCCCCTTCTCTCAGACCCACCATTTCGAAGGCGTAAAGTGCAAAATAGGGGTCTCACTTTCTAGAGAGGCCAGAATGGCCTCCTTCATTGATAGGCAAAGACTTAATTTTATTCTTTTAAAAATTATTTTAATTATATAATTGTAGTTGTTTTTAATGACACAGAGAGTTTAATTTAATTTCAATACTTCTGATGGTTTTTACTATATTGTATTTGTTTCACCTGAGTCCTCGCATTAAGGGAAAAATGGGAAAAATAATAATGACAATAATAATAATAATAATAATAATGCTACTACTACTACTAATAATATCATCTAGCAAGAGACACACTTACCAACAATCCAAAGGCAATGATTTTCAGGATACACTCCAAAGAGAACAGGGCAGTGAAGACCATGTTGAAATTCTTTAGTAAATGATCGTATACATGTGTGGCATTGTAGAACTATTTGAGGTGGAGAAGAGAGAGAGAGAGAAAAGGAGGGAGAACTTCATGGCAAAGAATGAAAAAAGGTCAGGACAGGAGACACTGGTGACAGGATCAATGCTGGCAAAGGTTCAAAAAGATTTCTGGGAAGGGTAGTTATTCCTTTTAAGCCAGCTAACAAGATCAAAAAGATACAAAGTTCTACAAGGAGCTTAAAAGGTTTTGAGGAGCTTAAAAGGTTTTGAAAATCTATGGGTTTCAACAGTATCAACTTCTTTAGTATCCAGGGTCAAGTAGCTCAAGGCAATTATGTGGCTAGGGAATGAGATATGGCCAGGACAACCCCTCCCTCCCTGTGATATACAACTGATGGATCCCATGTAGGTACTGGCAACTCATAGTACCATTTGGCTCCTACTTACTTTCATCATTAAGACAATGGTGTTTAGGGCAATCATGGCCATAATGGTGTATTCAAAAGGAGGGGAAACCACAAACTGCCACATACGGTACTGAAAACTTTGCTTGTTCTGAGGCATGTGCCGGGTGAGTGGCTTGGCGCTGATGGCAAAGTCAATGCAGGCTCGCTGTGAAAAGAGGAGAGAATCATCAGTACAGGGGTCTCTTTCAAGAGGCAAAAGATAATAAGAAGAATAGGCAAGTATGGATTTCTTCCACCTTAGACAATTTCATTCCAAACATTTATTTTATTTTTTTGTTTTTCACAAAAAGAAGTATCTTCTTGACTTCCAGTATTTTCTTGTACTGAATAAAGAGAGGCAATATTGACTCAGGTCTAAATGAACTGCAGTGGTTGTGCCAGCAAAAATAATGAATAATCTCCTGGGGCAATGTGTCACTATGAATCCTTTCCTCAGCATGCTTGCAACATGGTTGGCAAAAGCTTTACCTGATGTTAATTTTGAAGACAAGAAAACTGTTAATTATTTTAGGATGGCTGTAAATATCATGTAGAAGAGAACAGGAATGCTCTTTGATTGCAGGTGAACTATAAATCCCAGCAATTACAACTCCCAAATGGCAAAATCAATTTTTTGAGTGACGGTCACTCCTTGGGTTACTAGGTGTCTTGTGGCCAAATTTGGTGGCAATTCTTCCAGCGGATTTTGAGTTATGATGTCACTCAAAACAAACAGAGCATTTATATACATATAGATTGATTTTATGAATCTGGCTAGTTCCTCACAATCCTCAAATATGTATTGGTGTTTTCAGAAAATAATGTGGAAAGTGGATGTGCAGCACTAGCTCTATTGGAACCTGTGGCATAAATTAATTTGCTCCTGTGAAATAGAACTAATTTTTATGCATGTCTTCAGGCCCATCTCAGAAGCACAATAAGAAAACCTAAATGTTTATGTGTTAAATCCCATCCCCATTCACTTAAGAGGCTCATCCCACTCTGATTTCCATAGGATTTTCAGCTATATTATAACCATAAGGCTTTGTGTTAAGTGAGGGATTGGCAACCTACAAAAACCTCAGCCTACTTTCAAAAGCCATCTGCAAGTGATATAAATTCAGATCTCGCTGTAAATTCAGATCTCCCAAGAATAATGTGTCTCTCCCCCAGCAGCTCACTGGGTGAAGAGAGGGGGGAGAGGGAGAGGGAGAAGAGGTTACAGAAAGAGACAGAGAAATAAAGGGTACCTACCCATTTCTGGCACAACATCTAACCACTAGTAGCATGCAAATCTTGACAGATGAAGACAACAGAATCGGGCTTATGCTGAATTTGGTCAATGGTCTATACAGTTCCAGATAATCTATAGCAGTAGGACCTCTCAGGCTATCTGATATGGGGAATGCCAATTCTAGCTTTCCGGTGTGCCAACACTAAACTTGTTTTCTTTGGGTACATCTACAGGATACCCTCCAGGCTTTTAGACCTTTCCAAGCCCTACCTGGAGATTATTGGAATTTTACTCTGGGGTCTTTTGCATCAGTGATTCTCAACCTGTGGGTCCCCAGGTGTTTTGGCCTAAAACTCCCAGAAATCCCAGTCAGTTTACCAGCTGTTAGGATTTCTGGGATTTGAAGGCCAAAACATCTGGGGACCCACAGGTTGAGAACAACAGTTTTGCATGCAAAGGATGTGATCTATCACTCAGAGAATGTGATCTTCACTATAAAAAAAAGGCTCTCAATTGTGTTGTAAGAGACAGCAGTCATTTCTCATGGACATCTGGCTGAAATTACAGATATAATTCTTTTAAAAAATATTTGAAAAATGGTATAAAATGTGTATTTTGAATGTTGGGAAACCCTGACATGGAGAATCCTGGACTGATGAGGGTCTTTGAAGCTTGAGACTCCTTCTGTAAAAAAACTGACACATTTTTCTGTACATACAATATTATTCTGTGAAGAAATATTATCTTTAGAAAGTGCTGTTTGTGGCACAGACAATGCTGCTTTCTCCACATACACTAAAAGAAATACATTTTTTGTAGAATATGTATTTGTGAGAACTGAAGTGTATTCAAAGACTTTCTTGCATTGGGAAGGACATTGTTAAAATCACTTGTTCCTTCCTTTGGGAATGAAATTAAAGAATTACATCCCTTGTTGAGACTAACTATGACCATATTTTAAAAATAAGAAAACTGGATATATGTGTGCCACTGAGTTGAAAGCAGAATTTCCTTCCTCTACTATGGATGGAAGAATAATTGTTGACACCATTTCAACTCTGTACTAGAAGAAATACTGATTTCTTCTGGTCCTCATGTCAGAAAATTTGCTGTTATTTCAAAAAGACATAGCTTGAGCAAGGCATATTATATATCAAGAGCGTGAGATTCTTTACATTATAGATTTTTAAAAATCTAATTTTAAGTGTCATTTATACATTCTGGAAGCCTTCAGTACATGACGTATTACCATGAGGAGTGCTTTTTTAAAAAGCAGATTTTCTATAACAAATCTACTTTTGACTCTATGAACACATTGTCAACAAATTTTCATTACTCCCAAGTTACAGGATCAACTAGTAAAACCCGTCTTTAACCAACCTTCCACATCCCAACAGACTATCTTTCTACCAAACCAACATTTTGAATCTGCCATGAAGAAATGGGTGACAACCTTCATAAATCTTTTGGAGTTTTCTGTCAAACTAACATTTTAAGGGACTCTGCCTAAGGGTACATTATCCATTCCCAACACATGCCACACCTCATTCTTCTCCAGGCTGTACTCCTCCATCATCTTGTCCCCCTGCTCCTGGAAGGTGATGATGATTAAGGCCACAAAAATGTTGACAAAGAAAAATGGGAAGACCACAAAGTAGACCACATAGAAGATGGACATCTCCATGCGATAACCAGGGCTGGGGCCCTGATTCTCATATGTAGCATCCACCGAGTGCTTGAGGACACTGCAGAAAAGACAAAACAAGGAGGGATGGAAATAGGAAACAAGGGAAAACAGAGATAACTTGGTGAATTATCCATCAGATTCACTGACAGCAGCAGCACCCAATGCTTCTGAGATAGGTTCCAGATATTCAAAATTCAAGTCAATTTGGGATAGTCTGCCTCACATCTTACATTCCAGGACAATTTGGAATTCTAATTCAGATGGCCATGTTACTTAAATCAGCTGCAAGATCTAGTGTAGCTTTTGAGATTCTTATCAATCAGTGAGATGAATCTTGATAAACTCTGGTCCAACCAGGTCAGCAAAAGTGGCAACTGGAAGAATTCACTGTAGATGGGAATGAGATGGATGGGAAGACAGCACTTACCTCTTCCTCTGGGGTGCATAGAGGAAGAGGAAGGTGCATTCATTCAGACTGATTCTCTTTCCCATATGATTGTCAATGCAAGCACTGGTACATTTAAGTGTACAATTCTGTGCTTTTAAAAACTTAACAAAAAATTCACAAATCTGTAAATCAATAAAACACAACTTTAGCTTCTCCAAAATGAAAGATCAGTCTGAAACACCAAACATTACATTCCAAACATTGTATTGTCGAAGACTTTCATGGCCGGAATCACTGGGTTGTTGTAGGTTTTTCCGGGCTATATGGCCATGTTCTAGAGGCATTTTCTCCTGACGTTTCACCTGCATCTATGGCAAGCATCCTCAGAGGTAGTGAGGTCTGTTGGAAGTAGGAAAATGGGTTTATATATCTGTGGAATGACCAGGGTGGGACAAAGGACTTTTGTCTGCTGGAGCTAGGTGTGAATGTTTCAACTGACCACCTTGATTAGCATTTAATGGCTTGGAAGTGCCTGGGGGAATCTTTTGTTGAGAGGTGATTTGATGTGCCTGATTGTTTACTCTCTGTTGTTTTGCTGTTGTAATTTTTGAGTTTTTTAATACTGGTAGCCAGATTTTGTTCATTTTCATGGTTGCTTCCTTTCTGTTGAAATTGTCCACATGCTTGTGGATTTCAATGGCTTCTCTGTGTAGTCTGACATGGTGGTTGTGAGAGTGGTCCAGCATTTCTGTGTTCTCAAATAATATGCTGTGTCCAGGTTGGTTCATCGGGTGCTCTGCTATGGCTGATTTCTCTGGTTGAAGTAGTCTGCAGTACCTTTCATGTTCCTTGATTCGTGTTTGGGCGCTGCGTTTGGTGGTCCCTATGTAGACTTGTCCTCAGCTGCATGGTACACGGTAGACATTCACACCTAGCTGCAGCAGACAAAAGTCCTTTGTCCCACCCTGGTCATTCCACAGATATATAAACCCATTTTCCTACTTCCAACAGACCTCACTACCTCTGAGGATGCTTGCCATAGATGCAGGCGAAACTTCAGGAGAAAATGCCTCTAGAACATGGCCATATAGCCCGGAAAAACCTACAACAACCCAGACATTCCAAACATTGTTCTTTGAATGTCTGTGATCAGAGTTTCAAAAATGCTTGTCTCTGTGTGTGTTTTCTGCAAATTATTAAATAAATGCTATTGAGTTTTAAGATCTGTGTGCCACTTTTCTGTCACTGTAACAGGTCTTTTATAATAAGCATTTAATTTTAGGGATTAACTGGACATTGTATTAAAGACATAGGCATTAATAAGGCCCAAGATCCTGCACATTTTTAGTGTAGCATAAATATACAAGAACAGGTATACTTGCTCCTCCAGTTGTGTAAACAATTACACAATGGATGTTATAGTATTGATCTCATCCACTGAATGATAACAAAATAGCTACCACCCACCAAATCAAAAATGAAGAAGAGACGGATGTGTGTGTGCTTGCAAAAATGTCTGTAGTCCATAGTACAGCAACTTGTAAGGAAGTACAATAATCTGCACAACTATTTTGAAACTAGTGCAATACTTCAACAAAATTCCAGCTGTGTCTTCATTTTTGTGGTTTGTGGTGAGGTTTGTTTATTATAGGAAACCCCTCTCAATTGGGGAAAGAGTGTTTACTATGCTTTTCCCCAACTCATGTTATACTGCTAAATGTCTCCTCTGCAGATAAGAGCTAAGATTTCTTTCCCAATTGGTGCTGATCGCACTGTAGTTCTTATATACAGGGTTAGTCAAAATGAATAGGCCAATAAGAAAATTAATTTTAGACGAATGTATGTTTATTGTAACCAAACTACAGCTACGTAGCGACAGATAAACTATCAAAGTTTTGTCTCACCTTCAGAGATGTTCGATATGGGCGCCCCGTGTGACACGGCAGATGTCCAAGCGATAGTCCAGTTCATTCCACATTCGTTGCAGCACATCCGACGTAATGGCATCGAATGCAGCAACGTCTGGGAAGGTGTTCGTTGAGGTCCTAACCCTAACCCTAACCCTAACCCTAACCCTATCCCTAACCCTAACCCTAACCCTAACCCTAACCCTATCCCTAACCCTAACCCTAACCCTAACCCTATCCCTATCCCTAACCCTTGAAATTTTCGCTGGACCGTAATTACTGACATTGTTTTAGCAAATGTCATCACACAAAACGCCTTCTCTTTGCTTGATTCCGCCATTTTGAAAACAGCAACCCCTAGCGACGCCTAGCGGCATTAACGTACATGTGTGTTGCTCAAAAAAAACTTTGATAGTTTATCTGTCGCTACGTAGCTGTGGTTTGGTTACAGTAAACATACATTCGTCTAAAATTAATTTTCTTATTGGCCTATTCATTTTGACTAACCCTGTATATACACACATAACAGGAGGCTTATTACTGTTAAAACTAAGTTGGCATGGTACAGTGGATTGAATGTTGGCCTTAGGACTAGAGATTAGAGTTTGAATCCCCTCTTGGCCATGGAAACTCAGTGGGTGACCTTAGGCAAGCCACACTCTCTCAGCCTTTGAGAAAGGTGATGGCAAACTACTATCATAGGAGACAAATAAGTCACTTTATATTGGAAAACTGATTTGAAGGCACACAGAACTAAAAAAAGAATTGTTAGACTTACCTTATGTTAGACTACATAAATGGGGTGGGGTGTTTTCCAATAAAAACTGGGCCCCTAGCCCCCACCTAGTGTTAAAGAAAAAACAAGACCAAGTACAAATGCTAGCTATTTCTGCAATGTAATGTGTAGTGTGAGGTCTTAGGCACTGCAAGTTGTTTTCATTCTAGAAAGGGACACCTTTGTTGTACCTAAGTATTTATTATGGTCATGTTTTTCCTTACTACTGTACTAGATAAATGTAAACAACCTCTGCTTTTGGACACTGGATATAAGTTACAGAGAACTAAAAAGTTATGAGTTACAAGGAAGAAATACAGGTATGTGTCACAAAGGAGAGAAATCATTTCTCAATTTCACTTATGAATTCCCTCTGATATCCCTACTCTCTCCGTAACGTGCAGTGGTACATGGATACTGACAAAAATGAGATCCCCATTAAAAATCCAGTGAGACATTTTCAGACTTAATATTTTAATAAACCTTGAACCTTGGCATTCCAAATGGAGAAGGTAGATGCCTTGAACTACAAAGCTCCAAGAAAAATCCACCCACATCCTTATCTTTAATGTACACAGTATGCTCCTGCACTTTCTCAGGTTTTCTATCAGTTGTGAAAAGAAATGAATTCCACCACTTTTTACTTTGAATGGAGCTTTCAAATGCCAAGGAGTAAACCACAGCAAACAAGTTTAGGTGAAGATCTCAGCACCTCTCTAAGAGCAACCAGCCATACAGTAAGAAGTCCCACCATCATCTAGAAGAGAATCCTCATTATCTTAAATAACTTACTCTGGCCAACCTTCTCCTGTAGACACAGTGAAGAGAGTAAGGAGCGCCCACAAGACGTTGTCATAATGGAAATCATATTTCCTCCACTCTCGTCTCTCAGCCTTCACTTCATTGTTCTTCTCGTAGACTAAATATTCTCCCCTGGGGAAGAACATCAACAGAAATACTCAGAGCCATACTTACACACTACAGAGAATGGGCAATTTTGCAGGACTCCAGTATGGTGTGAGTGAAGAATAGTGGTCAGACCTCCAGTCAATATGAGAGTGAAAAGTATCTATGTTCTAAGACTGATTCAGAAGAGTTAATATTTAACCAGAAAAATTCCACTGGAACTCTCAGGCTGACTTAAACTCACTGGCCACAAGTGCAGTTGAATTACACGATGTCACAACATTTGAAAACATTTCTGTTCCTGATTTGAAAGTGTTATATCCTGTTTAATTGTGTGGTACTTATTTTGAAAATAGCTGTTTTAATCCAAAAACTTAGTTTTTGTGGCTGCCACAAACTATGTTGAATTGGTTGAGACTATGAAATATTCACTGAAAAACTATAGCAAAATTTGCTGACAGATGACCCGCAAAAACAAAGTTTTTGCAGTTTTAGGAAATGGCATGTATAACCCAGGAACAAAAATGATCTTACATAGTGTTATTTCATGTCAGCATTATAAGTTCAAGCTGTATACAGCACAATTTGTTTAATTAACATAATTAAACATAATTAATTAAACATAATTAACATATCCATTTACCTGGGAGTAAGCCCCTCTGGACTTAACAAGACTTACAAGTGTGTGTGTGTGCTTGTGTATCTAAGTTAACTGCCAATGTCTAAACGCCAGTCTGAGTATTTTATAAAGCTGGGGGTGGGAGGAAATAACCTGGATGAATTAGGGAGGAATGCAGAACTACTGAGGGGAGGTGGTGAGGAGGGCTCCAAGACAATTCATGATGGGTTGAAGGGGGCTTAAGAATGACTTGAGACAAGGGACATGCGTGTGCTTTCATGCTGTATCTATGGGGTAAGTAGAAAATCTGTGGAATTTTTAGCCACACCTCCATTCAGCAGAAATTATTAAACAAAAGAAAATGGGTTTCTGTAAATTGTCCGAGCTGCATGGCCATGTTCCAGAAGCTTCTGGTTTTTTTAAAACAGTATTTCAATTTGACCCATGAGTTCAACATCTTCTCAGATGTCCCTATTCAGATTCATTTCCTCCCTCATTACTTTCTTCATCAACCTACTTGCACTTTTTATGGCCTTTGGATAGGCCATATGAATGTATACACAAATCTAACTTGGATTTTCTATCCATTATTTTATTATGTTTTATTTTATTGTTTAGCTGAACAGCCATACGAGCCCAGAAAGGATTATCGTGCTATATGGAAAAGGAGTTAAGTTAGGCTCTGGAAGCAAAAGAGTGGCAGACAGATGGAGGCCTCATACCTGCAATCCTTTTCAAACTCCTTTGACTCATCAGTGCAGTAGAAGAACTTGCCCTTAAAGAGCTGAACAGCCACCACAGCGAAGATGAACATGAATAGCATATATACAATGAGTATGTTGAGGACATTTTTGAGTGAATTTACCACACAGTCAAAGACAGCCTAAGGAAAAGCAGAAGGCACAGTAAGGGTTTGCTTAGGAAATCATCACCATCATAGTCTACTGCATTCCGCTTTTCTGAAAAACCCCACCCCACCCTCACAGGAACTTATAAAAGCTGGGAAACCCCCCAGAAAAAATAACTTTAAAATCAGGTAAATTTATAAGCAGTATGAAACAAAGTATCAGCAAAAGCCATGGGAAAAGAGAGGGAGAGTGCAACAGATTTCCAGAGGGAATGTATTCCACCATCTATCTGTCACCACTGAAATGGCCCTGTCTCTTCTATCTGCTCATCTAATTTCACCCAACAATGGGACAGAGAACAAGATTTCTAAAGCCAATCTCATGGGCTGGGTAAATTCATGGTGAGGGAGTCAATAATAAACTGTTCACATAAGCTCAAAAAGATCTCCTTCATTAAGTCTATAAGCATTACTCCAAATATCCTGAACATCAGCGTCCAGAGAACAGAGAAATGACTTATCTCTACATAGAGGGAAGCCATTCTTTTAGTTATTTCCAGAGGGGTTCCTGTGTTACGTCTGTTGCAGTAAAAAAACAACAGAGTCTGGTGACACCTTGAAGACTAATACAGAAGAAGCATTCATGGACTAGAGTCCACTTTGTCAGATTCATGAAGCTTTATGCTCAGTTTTTCAGTTATATATAAATATAGGTATGGAGGAAATTGTTTTTTTTTTAAATGAAGTCAAGGGGAAAGGAAATGCAACAAATACTGATTGTGGCAATTAAATTAAAGCTTAAATGTATGTAAAGTAAGCACAGTGATCATTCACAGCGCAGTGTTGATGATAAAAAAATTATCATCAATGCTTCATGCATTTGATGAGGTAGACTCAAGTCCAAGAAAGCTGATGTCATCATAAATTTATTAGTCTTTAAGGTGCCACAAAACCCCGTTACCTTTTATCTTGCAGAGCTGCTGTCTCTTTAATAGTTCCATGACAGATAAAAATTAATAGCAGCAGCTTATCCGGGCATGGAGAGACTGGGAAAACTTTGTACCACAGATAGCAGAGGCACAGGAGTCCTGCTAGAAAAAACAGGTGCAATTAACATGCCCTCAGTCCAAATGACATTGTCAATTAGAGGTGCATACAGAAAAAGAGTAAGGGATGTTAGTTGTAAACCCCTCCTCTCTTTCACTGTTTCACAGCATTCTCATTCTAACCATGCCCATGTGACTTTCTCTTTTAAATACTGTTGCATACGCATACACCCACCCCCTTGAACAACAACGATGCCAGAATGCATCTTCGTATATTTGCACTGTGCACATACCTTGAGCTTTGGCAATCGCTTGATTGTTTTGAGAGGTCTGAGGACACGCAGAACACGCAAGGATTTGATGGTGTTGATGTCTTTCCCTTTACTGCCTCTGTAGAGAGATGTTAGGTGGGGACAAAAGAGCAGAGAAAGACAGTGAGACCCATGCCTTTATACTGGTAGGGCTGCCAAAGGGACATATACTCTCATACCATCTGCTGCTTTGCAGCCATTGGCTGGAACAGGGTTGTATAATACCAATGAACTACTCCTAAGTTATTCTGCACTGCAATCCTCTTGGGGAAGGGAGGGGGCATCCACATTTATTTTAAGGTCTTGCACAAAAGATCCACATTACAAGATTTCGAAATCTTCCGTTTTCAAAATGAAATGTTTTGCTTTGAAATTATTTTGTTTTACTTGCCATGCCCATCTGCTCCAAATGCTAATCCACTGTACATACCTACTCTAGCAGATTCTTGACTTCCCTTTATATACTTTCAATTCCATCTACCCCTTTATCTCTTCAGGTGCTCTTTCAATATCTCTCCATTCACCTGATCAGTTATTAATCCCCCAAGAAATGCTTTAATCCAATGACACTGAAAGGTTTAGAACCCTGTTGTTGCCAGGGAGACAGCATATCCAGTCCCATGGCCTCTGCTCGGCATATAAGAAAACAGACTGGTGATGTTTCAAAGCGCATTTTTTTGCTTCACAGCCTCCCTGATTCCTTACACTGTCTCTTGTTACCAATAAAAACAGATGGTGTTGTGATGCATAGCTTTATTGAGGAGTTCAACGTGTCTTTTCCCCAGATGTTCTTTATAAGTACTTGGTACACAGCAATAGAGTTTTTAAAAAGTGCTCAAATTAGTTTCCATTTCTTTCCAAATCCCAGAACTTGCCAATAAAGTAATCCTCATTGACAGCACCACCACTGTGTTGTAGTGTGTTATCTATCCTTCTCTGTTGTTCAGTATTGTCTTTTCCAAATCTTCAAAGTAGTATGGTTATCTCAATGGGTTGAACCCTTGTACCGGCAGGACTGAAGACCAACAGGTCAGAGGTTCGAATCCAGGAAGAGTACAGATGAGCTCCCTCTGTCAGCTCCAGCTCCCCATGTGGGGACATGAGAGAAGCCTCCCAGAAGGCAAAACATCAAAAACACCCAGGCATCCCCTGTGCAACATTCTTGCAGATGGCCAATTCTCTCACACCAGAAGCGACTTGTAGTTTCTCAAGTCGTTCCTGACACACACACACACACACACTCTCATAACCCAATGGTACAGTGAAATGTACACACATGGTGCATATCAATATCTCGCCTAATGTATTTTCCAATTATATTTTTAAAATTCTCCTGTCAATTGACTATACATTCATGTGCACAGTATACAGTTATATCAAAATGAAAAACAATTAGCATGTGTATGGTTGTGCCACTGATTTTCTCACACAAGAAAAATAGCAAAGAAAGGAGTCGTATCCAGCAAGAACAGTTTCAAATATATGGTGCTGTTTTTACTACAAGAAACCACAGTGAAAGCAAATATGTTAATATTTGTAGTTTGTCATTTTTATAAATGTCTTACGGACAATAATACCTGAATGGAATAAATACAGGAAGATAAGCTTACAAATATGCAAGTGAAATACCAATTGGAGTAAAAGGAAGATCTACAGAATAATCCAATTCTCAAAGCATACACCTGATACATTGTCAAAGGCATAAAGTATTTTTTGTTATATTCTTAATGAATGGCACTTACCAGTATTATTCAAAAGAGACTTTACTCCTTCATATTTATGAAACTGACCAACAATTAGAAACACTGAAAAAATCTCCTAGTAAAGCTTCCCTGGAACTGTGGCACTTTGGAATGTAGAAGAGTGGACAGCATACCTGAATGCTTTTTATGTAAAAAGTTCTTTGCATATAGGGAGCTAGCCCATTAGTAATAATGGTTTTAGCTCAGCCTTCTTCAGACACAGAAATGTTCTGACATTGAAGAGATTAAGTCTGAAATAGTCCACTCCTTAGTAGATGACTATATCATTATAAACATTTGCATTGCTTCATATTCTCTGTGCAGACGGATACTCTAGAAAACATTATCTCCAGCACTGAACTGTAAGGGGAAAGTCCATTTCTCCTCTCCATGCACCACACATTTGCTAACAAAAAATATAAGGTACATGAATCCACTCCAATGGTCTCAACCCCATTTATCTCCACTTAAGGTCAACTCTGCATATTTTGGAAAAATGTTATATATCCTCTACAGGAGTACAATGTACAGCAGCCAATCATTAGTGTTGAAGCAATGTTGTAAATGCCATACAAACTAGCATCTCGCTATCCAAAAAAGTATTAAGTCATGTTGTAAGAAAGATCAACATACTAGTGGCACTCATACTGTCAATGACCTATCAGTCTGGGGTGCAACCCAAAATAAGAAAGTGGTGTCTGTATGGCAAGCAATGGTGTTACTTTTACACCTGCTGGGCATATTGTTTTAGTGAGCTAAATTTCCGCATCAGCGGCAACATAGCTTTTGTAGCATTTGGATATTCTGAGACATGGAAGCACTACATTGTAGGAATAGCTTAAGAATACCCTAACATTGTCACTGTATAAAATCTGTTATAACTACTAATCTACACTGTTAGGGAGTACTAAATGATGCTTCTGTTTGACAGGTAAACAAACCTCATGCAACCAAGAGGCAATCAAAATCTGTTTTCAATGTCACTCCTGGGCATGTGGCTTACAGACATCTCACTGTGTAGATATTCAGTCACAACAGAACTAATCAAAGAAAAGTCTCTGATTATAACCCTCCCAAAGACCAAATACAATGTCTGGTTACTGGTTTTGTATTATAACTATTTTGATGTTGCAAATCCCATGCTAACCATCCTGATCCTTTTCACCCTGATATACCTATACATTGTGTTTTTCCAGCATAATAGTAATGTAAACAGATAAACATTTTGGGGTGGGTTTAAATTTTTACCTGCAGAAAAGAAGGTCACAATATATTGTGTTAATGTACTGTCTACTTGATATCACAATTTTGTTCACTTTGTTCTGACAACAATGGCTTTTGGCCCTGATAGTTGAGTCTCCAATGCCCAGTTCAGTAGAATAAAGCAAACAGGATGGGGTGAAAGGTGGGCAATGAGTTTTTCATGAACAGATTCTTACTACTGCACCTGATTGGTGGTGTATGAAGGAGTGCAGTACACTTTGGAGAAATTCCCCTACATCAGACACAGCTGTAAAAAGAATCAAATTATCAAGTCCTAGCAGGCATGGCTTTCTCACCAAGCTCAATAACATTCCTAGCTACTTTCATTATGTTAGGTTCAAAGACTGAAGTCAAACAGGTTGTCTGCTGGACTATCACATAAGAGTATCCTCTCTAATTCAGGAATACTGGTAGTAAATTAAGTCCCAGAAAGTGCAATCCTGATATAAAAGGCATTAATCCCAATTCAGTGTGAAATACAACAAAGCTAATGGAATGCCTGATGTTTGGAGAGATAGAAAGAGCTCCAAGATGTCTTCCCTTCCAGTAACATTGGATACTTAGAGTGATGCATAAGTGAAATCATACAGGTAAATAGAATGCTTACTAGAGTGTGAGAAAGAAAAAGAAGAGAAAGAGAGAGAGAGAGACGGACAGACAGAAAGACTTTACCGTGAGCTGTTCCTGTTGTGAAGTGGCAGTGAAAGGAAGAGACAAGGAAAGTGAGTAACAATCAGAAAGAGAACACACAACATAAACCCCAACGAACCCACACCCAGGCTCTGCCTGGAGGAATCTTTGCACCACATTTGCTGCTGTGCCAGCATCAATCAGGCTGCAACAGGCTATGTATGTGATTCTTCATACTAACAATCCTCATGAAAAAAAAACTTTGTGAAAGGCCACAGCTAGATAATTTTGCAAAATTTCTATCCATCTTTTATTTGGAATGTATTAATATGTCATACTTTGATTGAATTTTATTTGCAGCACTGATTTTAATATTGCTCTTTAACACATTTCAATCTATCAGCTAGCATCTTTATTTGCTTACATTAATGTATGTATTCCTAATTTCCAGTGAACAGGGTGGCAATGTTTTAAAGCCAGACAAACCCTTTTCTTTTAGTCTTAAAGCAAAGCTTGGCTATTGAGTGATAATACACAAGAAGCCAACTTAAAGAATAAATCTGACTACTAAACCTATTTCCTAAGAAATAATTGGAACTGAACTCATTGGGAATAGTTTCCACAAATATATAAGATCAAGTCATAAACCTCACTATATGATGATTGGGGAAATCAATTAATCTGTTAAGGTTCAGGACACTACACAGAATGTAGCTTTTTAAAAAAAATCCCTATCCATAAATTGATATAAACAATATTATTTCATGCAGCTCTACTAACTGACCCTAGTCGGGGGTTTGCTTTTGTTCAAACAAAAATCTCTGCGGTGATGAGGTGAGACCATGCTTTCACCACATGAATTGTGGATTTTTTGGACACACAAAGAAAAACAAGAAGAGAGAGTCAATAAGGAATGATTTCTCCTCCTCAGGGATGGATATCAGCTCCAGTCTAAAGCAGTGGCCAGAAGAGGAGCTCACTACCCAGAATCTAACTGCTGAGACACTGGCATTACTGTTACCGATGCAATAGTATGAAGTAACATGACATGGTATAGAGAACAGAACAGTATATACAGTCAAATGACAGCAACACAGCAGAAAAGGATATACACCCTTGTATGGTTAACTGAAGTTGGCATGACTGGTTGAAAAAGAAGTTTCCAGGTTTTGATGAGTAATAATGAGAGACAAAAGAGGGACAAACCAGATTGCTAATGATCTACTGTGTAGGAAAAAGGAGAGATAAGGAAAAGTGCAGCAGCAGGTGGGAGATTCACTGAAAGTGAAAAGTACTTGGGAAACTTCATCACCAACAATATCCCTGCAAAGCTTTCTCCACAATTTTTTAAAGACAAGCTATTCTATGAAATTAACATAGTTATCATTATTCCACGGTTCAGGTATCTTGAGAGTTATTAAAGAAAATTACACCAGTTTCCATTGCACATTGTTTCCCACATTCTTGGTTACTGTGGTAGATAGCCATCCTTCACTGTGGCAAAGAGCCAAATTCCACAACTACACAGCTATACTTCCTTATTGGTTCTCAAGTAGTGGCACTGCTCTGCTCAGATCTCCAAGGCTGAGTGTAGAAATTGTGTAAGCATAGTGTATCCATCCACTTACATGTTGAATCTCTGAAAGAAAACCATCTTTACTACAGGCTGGACTCAGTTTACACTTTTCAGTTCTGCAAGTACCAGGAATAACTTCTATTATGCAAGGATGCAGATCTAAATTAGTCACACCCTTACTGGACCTGGTCTTTACATTATAATGTCACTGACTCATACATATCTGTTAACAAACTTCCCAGGAGTATAGCTTTTCCTCTCTAACAACATATTAGGCTTTTTATATGTAGTTGCCCTGCCTCAATCATGGAATTTTAGAATAGTGGTCAGTGAGTCCTAGTGAATGTGTCATAAACAAATACTTCTAAGTGTCCTATATATCTCGCTGTCTTTTCCACTATTTTCTTTCTGTAAACCTTTTGTTAAGGAAGAAAAGAACTAGAACTTGACTCTTTATTATTTCCCCTTAATTCCATTTCTATCCAGGCCACTCAAGAAACATACCAGACTTATTCTAGATTCACTTGAAGTAGTTATGCATGCAAAAATCACATAATTTTCTGGAGAAGTAAAAAAACCTCACCAAATTAGAGTCTTAGAATTTTCTTGGACCAACAGCTCTTTACAAAACCCACAATACTGGCATGTCCAAGGTTACTTTTTGACTACAACTCCAAGACTCCCCCAGCCAGAATGGTGGATGGATATACTGACAGAATGATTATGGAAGTTGCAGTTCTAAAAGTAACTTCCCCAGTTCCTGATATTGATGCTCCATTGTGAAATAATAGATTTACAAGCCAAATGAAATTACTTTCTGCCTCTGAAGCTGAGTGTTGTGTCTTTCAACCATAACTGGATGTTTGAAATGCTTTCTTTGTACTCAGCGCACTCTGCCAATGGCCCCAGGGCTGAAGAGTATCCCATTACTGTAGCCATCTGGAGTTGAAAAAGACACTGAAGGATTTCTGAATCAAATCTCACCTGGGAAAACTGGAGACAGAAGACCTGAATTCCCAACCCAGAGTGCTATCAGGAAGTAGACAGTTCTGGGGAGTCCATAAGCATTTTTGCAGTTCCATGCAAAGCCACCCCCCCCCCCCCAAATTACAGGAAGAAGTTGGTAATTTGTGGAAAATGGGTGCAGAGCATGCAGGTAGGATGAATAACACAGGTGAATGGCTGACTGCAGCACTCCAGCCTTTGTGTCATCACCTACTTTCCTTATGGTGTGTAGACAGAAAACATGATATGAATGTACATTAATAAGCAAGTAAGAGCTGATGCTGAATGTGTCCAATACTTCACATTAGGAGAGCTTCCTAATTTTGCTTATCACTGGAATATGCTTTTTCTCCAGCATGAGGGCATATAGGACTTCACCTATTCAAATAGTTAGAAATCAGAACCCAAACTTCTCTTTTTCTTCCTTGTCATCAAATACACTCACAGAATGATGAATTGCAAGGTATTTGGGACAAGAGGTTTCCACTCGGACTTCTCGTTGAAGCGCACTGAAAATGGCAGATGAAAAGAAACAACAATAATCTATTGGATGTTTTTTTTCTTCTTCTACTGCTTTAGTCCAAACTCCTTTAAACTATTTCTGTAAAAGAACTAGCTATCAATCTATCCAGTTAGAATTAGCTATTGTGGGAGAAATATTCTGGTTCCCATTTCCATTCCCAAGACACATGAAACTATCACGGTAAACATCATTCTCTGCACACAACCTGATTCCTTATGTAGGCATGGGAATCCTCAGAAGTATAGTGTCACTGTTCTTTTTGTTTGACTTCATTAATTCATATGGAAAACAGCAAACCTGGAGCAGGGATCTGTTTAGACATACCTTATGAAACTGACTAACTGTTATGCAGAGAAGAAGGTTTTCTGGAACTGATAACAGGAAAAGAAAATAAGCCAAATGTTTGGTTTTTCTTTGTTTTCTATCATCTTATCTCTAAGGTTCCTTCCACACAGCTTAATAAAATCTCCCATTATCTGGTTTGAACTGGAATATATGGCAGTATGGACTCAGATAACCCAGTTCAAAGCAGATATCGTGGGATTTTCTGCCTTGATATTCTGGGTTGTATAGCTGTGTGGAAGGGCCCTAAGAGTCACATTTTCTTTCCCAAATAGGATATGGCACAGAAGAATCTTGATTTCAGTCCACTCGAGCCCATTCAATCCATCAAAGTTAGAGAGCGAACCAAATCCAAGACTCCCGCATCTAAGCTTTGACACTCTACTTGGACTCAATATTTTTATCCTGATCTCACACCACTGCTTTTAGTTTCTTAATGTATTGATTACAAATTTACTGGGAAGAAACCAAGAAGTTGAACACTAAACAAGGAAACTAATCTGATCCAAAGAGCTGTGGACAGACTGCTACCTGGCTGCTGCGACAGCGAGCATACAACCCCGCTCTCACAACAGCTCCACTGGCTGCCAGTCTGTTTCTAGGAACAATTCAAAGCCCTCTACAGCTCAGATTCAGGCTATTTGGCATGTTGTATATTCCTTTATGAACCTACTTGGGTCCTGAGATCCTCAGGAGAGGCCCTTCTCTCAGTTCTACCACTATGCTTTATGTAGTTTAACAGATTTATTTAATTGTTTTAACTATGCATTTTATTATTTCTATGTTAATTCTATTAATGTTTATATGTGTTAGGTTTTAATTCACATCTTGTTATGATTTTCAGTGTTAGCCGCTTTGAGTCTCCTTTGGCAGAGAAAAAGCGGGGTACAAATACATATCATCATCATAATTGTCAACAGCAGGAGCAGACCTTGGGAATTTTTTTTTTCAGATTACAACCTCTAAAATCCTTCATTTAGCAAGTGGGCAATGTTGTTTCAAGTATTTTGAGAATTGTAGTCCCCCACAAAAAAGGCAGCAGATTATACCAGCACATTCTACTATTTTGGGTGATGGATTAAGATCAAATAAATAGAGAAATTCTATGCAACATTTGTATTTGATGATCCAGCTGTTTCCAGTAGTCCGCCTAGAGGCTAGTACAGTGCTGTTTACAAATAGTTTTTCAATCTTGCAATCAGACAAGGCAGAATCACACACTTATTTATCTGCTCAACCCATACTGCAGTTCATTCTTGCGGGGGATATGTGGCTCAGTTTCCCATAATAACTTTTGAACTCAATAAGAAGCCTGTGAAGTATGAAGGACAGTCTGCCATTCCTCTAGATGGCTCTCATGGGAAGCTCCACATGCAAGAGGCATCCCAAGGCAAAGAGAGGACACATACATGTGGAGTGTCCATGCTCTACTACAATGGCATATGACAACACTGGAAGAGGGACTATGATGAAGGAAAGGACAGTGATTAGGACCAAGTTGTATATGTACTAAAACTATTAACAAAACCCATCATGCAGCAAGCTTCAACAAGAGCCTTTTCAAGTAGAAGGAGAAAGACCTGTGTGCTCTTGAAAAAGAAAAGAAGAGTGGGTGCTATGGCTCCTTTAAGAAACTTACGTGAAAGCAAATGCCACCAATGCTCCACTGACCACAATGAAATCCAAGATGTTCCACAGGTCCCGAAAATATGAGCCTCGATGCAGGATCAGTCCTAAGTCAATCATCTGCAAAATTAACAAAGCAAATTGACACAGGACCCTTGAGCCACTAGACATAGTTCCTTGATAACTACAATATCGCACCTCCTGGTCTCTTAGTATCAATGAGTGATTACTGTTTTTGCATTTTCATTATGCCCCTTCTTTCACATTTGAAGAGGTGTGAGTGTTCAGTAACCACTTAAGATCCAGACACCTGGGAGACTCGAATGCAGAGTGACAACTATATTTCCTAAAACCCATGAAGAACCCTCAAAGAATAACTGAGTTTCTAGGATTTCAAATTAAATGTAGTTTAAAGAAAAACCTGCACACCCTGATTCTAAGCCCATTTACTTTGAGGGCAGCCCTAAGTACAGTACTGTACATGTCTGAAATATGTGTAGTATTAACCAATAAGGCTCTATGATGTCATCTGGTGGTCATGAACAAAAACTACAATAAAATACAACAACCTGGAGAAAGTATAGGCCATGAGGGACCAAAAGAGAAAACCTTACATTACGTCCCAATGAGAGAGCTGGGAATTAGCAAACTTGAAATGGCAACATTTATAGATACCTCATTCTCAGAAAAAGTATTCTATCGATTGTATGGCTCCACTTTCACTCCAGTTCCTTAAACTTGGCTTAATGAATGAATGCTATTGTTATGGTCACAGACCAGGGGTGTAAACTTTAAAACATTAAAAACATAGTTTTTTAAAAAAAGTGTTTACATTAAGACCAGAGATTCTAAACATTAAAAGTAGAAAGTCCATGATATGGAGTCAACCTACACAGTTTCATATATGATGCTTATAAAATCTGTGGGTACAGATAATAAAATGACTAAGTAAAAACATTATCCACTAAAATCATCCACAATCTTCCTCTTTAGTTTTATAGCTGCCACACAAAACTAGTTTATAGCTCCCACTCTATAAGTGAGCAATGGTTCCCTATATTCTATGAGATATATTAGATAATATTCCTAATTTCTGTCAGGAATCTGTTGTAAAATAGGAGTGATAAAAACAGATTGAATATCCCTATAGAAGGGACATTTTAAAAGGACATTCCTGGCAGTTTCCACCTCTTCATACTGCATGGGCAAACATGCTCATTGTAGGAGATATTTGTAAACCTACCCTGCAGTAATGCTGATGGCAACACATTGAATCTGGCCAGAGTGAAGGATCTCCTAAATTTGACAACTTCTCCTACAAAGTAAGGTTCCATTCTGTCTGAAACCTATCTGTTAAAGTGAGAGGGGTCAGGCCCATTGGGGTAGTAATGGATCTTGAGGGTCCATACCTGGCTGGCCCCCAATCAAAATCTGACCCACCTCCAGTTGGACCACAGCATTTGAGACACAGAAAGGGATCCCCAATAGTGTATGCAGGAAAAGCTTAATAGATCTTGGTTGGATGATCTCAGGGCTCATCCAAGACTTTTTTTCTGCCTGGTGTAGAGCAAATGATGCCTAACTCAAAAGATAAGGTACCTCTGCTTGATCAAATTATTTGGCATCTAGGGTTAATACATTAAATAACTAGTCATATATTGTTCTTGTCTTAGGAAAGCTCTTCATGAGGCAAGTCTCAGGTATCTCCTTACTTTCTCCAACATTAGGGCTGATGCTATTTAAGGTGAAATACGTGCAGATAGCCTAATAGACTATCAGCAGTAGCAGAAACGAAGACAGTTGTGTGGACACATTATATATTAGGCAAGGAACATACAAAGAGCAATTTTATTAATAAGTGTTATCCTTTATGAAAAATAGTTCTTTGCTTCCTTGGACCCAGTTCAGAACATTACATGTTCTCACTGAAATATGATAGACATTTATTTGAAACTAGCTGTCCCCTGCCACGCGTTGCTGTGGCCCAGTCTGTGCATATGTATTTTGTGTGTGTGTATATGTATATATATGTGTGTGTATATATTTGTGTATATATGTAAATGTATTGTTTTGTGCACGCATTGTATTTTTTTTTGGTTTTTTAGGCTCTTGTGCTGTGTTTTTCAGTGTTTTTATAAGTGATGGTCACTTGTTGGCGTGATATATGTATTTTGTCCAAATGTGGTATCTATTCTCCCAGTGGTTTTTTTATTTATGTTAATCATAAATACACGGACAGTATTGTATTTATTTTTATAGAATGTCATTAGCAGTGTTTCTAAACTTTTTTTAATGCCACAACCCCTTAATGCAATACCTCACGTTGTGGTGAACCCCAACCATAATACTATTTTCGTTGCTCCTTCATAACTGTAATTTTGCTACTCTTCTGAATCATCATGCAAATATCTGACATGCAAGATGTATTTATGCTGAAAGTCTTTGACACTACATTGTATTTCTGTTCTTATAAATTGAACATAATTAAAGCATACTGATTAATCACAAAAACAAAAAGTTTGGAGAGAATTGACAACGGATGATGGGGTTTGGAGTATCTTCAACTGATTCAGCTCAGAGTTCCACAGACCACTAAGACCCCCGTTAATGACAGATCTGAACCAAACTTGGGCCACAGAACCTTCATGGCCATCAGAAAATACTGGAGGGGTTTGGAAGGAATCCACAGTAATAGGATCCTAGTGTTGCAAGAGACCTCCAAGGGCCACCCAGTCCAACCTCCCTCTGCCATAAGGGAAAAACACAATCCAAGCACTCCTAACAGATGGCCATAGAGACTCTGCTTATTATTATTATTATTATTATTATTATTATTATTATTATTATTAGAAATAGCATCCTAGGGAGACCTCCAAGGGCCATCCAGTCCAACCTCCCTCTGCCATAAGGGAAAAGCACAGCAAAACACTCCTGATAGATGGCCATTTAGACTCTCTGTAATAATAATAATAATAATAATAATAATAATAATTCATTTCTTCCTTCCTTCCTCTCTCCTTTCTCTTCATTCCTTCCTTCCCTCCCTCTCCCATCCCTGTCTCCTTTCCTTTCCTTCCTCTTTCTTTCCTTTTACCTTTCCTTCCATTCATATCCTTCTCTTCACCACTCCTTTTCTTCCTGTCTTCTCTCCTTTCTTTCCCTTCCTTCCTCCCTTCCTTTTGTGGCAGTTTGTAAGGGGTTTGCATCCTCCCTTCACCCGACGGTCCTGAGTACAGGCTTCCCTTTCAAATCTCTACCGGGGCTTGCCTTCCGTCTCTCCTTTCTTCCTTCCCTCTTTCCTTTCCTCAATCTCTCCCCTCCCGAAAAGAAAGAGGAGCCTGCCTTCCTGCTTGGGAAGGGGCTCCATGGCGAGGCAAGGCAGCCCCTTTCCCTCTCCACGGTGGGTGCCTCAGGCTTCTCGTGTGCGTGCTGGGGAGAGGGTCTTTTGAGCATGCTCAGTTAGGTACCTTTTTGGGGGGGATATTAAAGTTATTTCCCCTTCGTTTTTAAAGATTTTTTTTATTTGGAAGACATAGATCAGATAAGAATGTGTTTTGCTGCCAAATTTGGTGTCAATTGATCCAGGGGTTTTTGAGTTCTGTGAATAGCATAAACGAACATTACATTTTTATTTATATAGACTCCTGTAATTGTCTAGGAAAATATTACACAGCAAGTTTCCCATGTGAAAACATACGTGTTTCTATCTTCAATGGCTATCACATTGCTATTATAGGATATAAATTAGATCTTGGATGTCTCTTAGTATCACCACATGTAGGGAAGTCTACAGTAGATCAGAATCTAACGGTCAGAGACAGGAACAGAGTTAAGAGCCGCGAAAGGCCTGAGATAGAAATACCTGGTTGGGAAGGTCAACCAAGCACACAGTCAAGGTCTTTCCAGGAGTCGCAATCTAAGGCAGTAGGTAAGGAAAAGGAACAGGGGTTTACACGAAGTCTTCAACAGAAGTTGTTTTAACTGAGAAACCAGCTCTAGTTTGAGGCCTGATATGGCAGAATAAAAGAGACTGGCCTTCAGACCCACTGCTGGTACTGCAGTCTAAAGCCACTGAAAACCAGAATTTAGAGCCAAACATATGATACAGAAAGTATACAGCATACTGAAAATGTCCTCTTTCTCCTTTTTTACTTATAAGCATGTCTAGTGGGGCCCAATCAGCAAGCATTTCTACAAAGCTCTTGACTGAGCAGGATCAGACAGTGTAGCTCAAGAAAATGGCACCAAAGGATCAACAAAATAAAGAGGCCTAATGTCTGGCATCCTGTTAGTGATACATGTGAATGAAAGTGTAATTTACATGTGCATATGTTCCTTTTTTGGGTGAGGTGCAGGGGGCTATTTTCGGCCTTTGCATTCCATTCCCAAAGCTCTCTACAAGAAGTTTTAACAGGGGTTGCTGCTTTTTAACAGTGAAAATGGGAAGGAGGGGAGGCAACCCACACAATGAAGATACACTGGTTGGAAGTTTTGGTTTCTGGTGGAAGGAAAAGGAGGATGCAATCAAGATTTGAGAATATTTTTCCTATCTCAGATTTGAGTCCATCTGCTATTTCATGGTCTGAATCACCTCCCCCCCCCCCCCCCCCCCCCCCCCCCCCACACACTCTAGTGTAGAAGTGGTGGCCCTTTTTAATGTTTCAGAGCTGCTGTAGGAAGACCAGATGAAGGCAAAATTGCACAGGCAGAGTTACACTCCACTGTAGGTTCTCAGCCTAAGGCTATGAACAGTCAATAACAGGTGGAAAATGTTCCTTTGGACGTTTTTAGTAGCACGTATCATTCCCACCAATGCTAATTTTGCTCCAAAATATACAGAAAGAAGATCCATACTTCACACTCTCCTAGTGTGACATTCTCTACTACAACCAGTCAGAGGAACCATACAATCTACTTATCATTTTTTTCCAGAGGTTAGGAACCCAATCCCAATTTCCCAGTTACTAACCTTAACAACCATTTCAAAGGTGAAAACACCTGTGAAGACATAGTCAAAGTAACGAAGAACCTATGAAGAGAAATGAAAACTATTAGACATAAAGTTCAGGCTGTGCCATGATTAGTATGAACCTTGACTGCTTCCACAAAGCCAAGAGGAAAGGAGCAAATCTAACATAGTTAGTACTTTTTGGGTGGGTGAATGGGGGGGGGGGGGAAAGGTAGAACATTCAAAGCTAGAGGAAATAAAAGAAACTTGTCATTGTTATCCAGAAGCACTGAGGTAATTAATTATTTTCTGGCTACCTCTCTGTCTATTGTGAGAAGTACTAATAAATTAAGAAAAGATTCTATCACTGTATGGAAAGTAGTAGTGAAAATTTGTACCAGTATTGTCCACATGACAGCTATAGCTAGGGTAGTCATACATTGCCAACCCTCCTCGATGGACTGTCACCTTGTCATGGTGAGGGGGCTTGCATGTTCCAATGAACCTGTGGGCACAACGACTGGAGTCATGCACTCCCAGGAGTGGCCGCGGGGGAGGTTCCAGACCAAGCACATTCTGAAGACCCAAAGACCTCAACGGCAGAGCAGGTAGAGGATAACATGGTACATGTTACAATGGCTGTGAAGGCGGAAGAAGGTTGCAACGGCTTGAGAAGCCACAGTCATTGTGTTAATTATGTCACTGGATGGAACCTCACTCTGTGAAGACTGTGTGTTGATCAGCTGTGCATTGACCTCCACACATTTAAAAAACTCATGCATAGGCGTCTTCCAAGAAAAATAAAAACAAATCAACAAAAGTCCCATGGAGATCAGCGAATGGCGATGGGGGCATGACTGTGAAATCTGGAAGCCCCTAGACTGGCACATGGGCGGTGGATACGGACTCAGTCGTTCTACCTCAAGGTCTGAGGCAGTTGAGTAGTTCGGCAGCTGTATCCATGACTGAGCAGCCCTTTTGAGGATCCACTTTGCTCACCCCACATGGGGAAGGGGCTAGAAAAGGTGCCCTAAACATAGTCTGCCTCTCTTCTTCCTGACTGGACTGCTGCATTCAGTGGGGTCACCACCCTGCGGCCAAAAAAGAAAAATGAACTTCGGAACATGGAATGTACGGACACTGATGGAGAACACCGACAGTGAACGCCCTGAATGCAGAACTGCCATCATTGCAAGGGAGCTGGGATGCTTTAACATCGACATAGCAGCCATTCAGAAGACCTGGAGAGCAGGAGAGGGACAGCTAAAGGAAGAAAAAGGAGGCTACATCTTCTTCTGGAAGGGACTGCCTGAAGAAGACCAAAGAATGCACGAAGTTGGCTTTGCTATCAGAAACGATCTGGTGAAGCATCTGACCGAAGCACCTACTGGCATCAACGAATGACTCTCAACCCTCCGAATTGAACTTGCCAAAAACCAACAGGCAACCATCATAAGTGTCTATGCACCAACACTAGATGCTGATGAAGACATCAAGGAATTTTTTTACTGTCAGCTGGACACCATCTTATCAGAGATACCTCCTGGGGGACTCTAATACAAGAGTCGGACGAGACTTTGACGTGTGGCCAGGAACCATAGGAAAAGATGGGGTTGGAAACAGCAACTCGAATTGCATCCTGCTTCTCACCAAATGTGCAGAACACAATCTTGTCATCACCAACACTCTCTTCCGCCAGAAAAACAAGTTCAAGACATCATGGAAGCACCCCCGGTCAAAGCATTGGAACCTCTTAGACTACGTTATACGTGCCAGAGACTGCTGTGACGTGCTTCTCATAAGAGCCATGACAGGTGCTGATGACTGCTGGACAGACCACAGGCTAATCCAATCCACAATGGCCATCAAGATCGCCCCCAAACACAGACTTGAAGGAAGAAAGCCAAGGCACAAAATGAACACCCAAGCCCTTCAGGAGCCCTCCAAACGAGCCCTTCTCCAAACAGCACTCAAGGACCATCTACCCATAGAACACCCTGAAAATGTTGAGGAACATTGGAACTAACTGAAGACCTCCATCATCACAGCCTGTGAAGAAACTATTGGATATCAAACCAAGAAACATCAAGATTGGTTTGACAAAAATGATGAGATCCAATGAAAAGAAAATGCAATTAATTTAATCACCACCAGCAGCTGATGCATTCCATCTTATATGAGGGTAACTTATTCATGTTTGTTTGAGTAAAGGTTCACCCTCCATTTCCTATAACTCTTTATTGTTCTTACAACATTATTCTGAATCCACCATAACCAATAACATAAAATGCCTAAAATCCATCCCATAGAAAATTGCACCCCCAGAATGCTACAGTGAAGACACAGAACTTTTAACAGTTTTATATAATAATAAATAATAACACTTTATTTGTACCTCGCTACCATCTCCCCAAGGGACTCGGTGTGGCTTACAGGAGGCCGAGCCCAAAATACAACAATACAGGCAATAATCACAACAATACACGCAATTAACATAAAACATGAACGATAAACATATAACATTATCAATAACACAACATATAGTTAAAACTGTGGGAAGGCCAAATGTAAAAATTAAAATTGGAATAGTGCTGAGGCCTGGACGAAGAGGTGATAGTGGCGTTTGTGGAAGACATATGAGCAGATCTAAAAGAGTTAAGCTGTGTTACTGTTTGTATTGACTAGAAGTCTAGAATAGGTCTACCTGGGTGCATTTATCTTTGTTCATTTCTATTTGCTTAAAAAATCTTATTTTTAGTGCCTGATATTTTGAATAAAACAATTTTTTGGAAAAATATTGTTTGAGGTCATATTATCCATTACATTCTTTAAATATCACACCACAGAACATTGGTCAATGCTTATATTTAAACTTCAGGAGTTAAGTGCTGATTAATGATGGCAGCTAGCTTGTAATGGTAAAGTTAAAAAAAAGTTTGAATATTGGGTTGCTGTGAATTTTCCAGGCTGCATGGCCATGTTCCAGAAGCACTCACTCCTGATATTTCACCCACATCTATGGCAGGTATCCTCAAAGGTGTGAGATTTCAAGAACTGAGCCCACGTGGCCTCAGTTCTTCAGACCTTGCACCACTGAGACTGCCCACCAAAGATATGGGCAAAACATCGGGAGAGAGTGCTTCAGGAACATGGCCATACAGCCTGCAAAACTCACAGCAACCCAGTGATTCCGGCCATGAAAGCCTTCAACAACCTAGGTGGATTATTGTTTCTGCTTTCTTCTCTTCCCCTTGTAGGGAAGGCGAACAGCTCTTGCTGTCATAACCACAACTCTGCCTTGGGTGAGCAATCACATTTCCAGGTTCTTTTCACAATTCCATGTCTTCAGCCTAAACAGGTTCCATTTTCCTGGGACATTATTAGTCATGGCTCTGTAATAGTGGTGCAGGATATCCATTCTAGATCTCTGCTGTATATCTTCATGCCAACACGAAGGCAGCTTCTTACTGAATAACACAGAGAAGCCTAAAGTAGAAACTGTGCCCATCCTCAGTATGGATGCTGTTCTAATTATTTCACTCACTTTTCCTTAGGGATAGCTCATGGGATCTGTCCAATAAAATGCTCAAAAAAGGAAGTGCCATGTAAGCTGCTCACAGTAGGGCTATGATTTATCTCCCTCCTTCTCTATCACTACCTCCCTTTTAACCTATTTAAATCCCAGCTAGCAGCATTTCTAAAGATAAAAGAGATGGAAAGAGGTTATTGGTGTTTTGTCCATAATAATATAAGATTAGTACAATTAAACAACTATACATCTTTAAGATGCATTTTTAAGTATTCCCAAAAGGAAGAAGCACTGTGCATATAAGTATCAACCTTTGTTCATACTTATATGATGAATATCACCTCCCTTATAGTCTCAGAAAACATTAAAGATGAAATAGAATTTTACCCACGAGGATCTGTAATTTGTGAAACGGATATGTGATGTGTTACTGGAAAGTAATCCTGTTAGGTGTATCAAACTGATGAGCTAGAAACCTACTTGGAAACAGTAGGAACAGAAAAGAAGCATGGAATGTCAAAAGTTTGAACACAATCTTATTAACCTATCTGGAGCTCTATCAATATATGGACAAAATATGGAAAGTATAGTGTTGAGCATTATAGCTCTACTGAATAAATAGCAATATAGCAAGTATAGTTCCTAATCAAAACCGCAAAATCTCTTTCAGACAGGAGCAAAATTAAATTTCAGATACATTCTTGTGTGTAGGATGAAATGGATTGGAGAAGTTGTTAATTTCTATCAAGTCGACTTTGATTTATGAATGAGAAAACTCCCACTGTTGTCAACAACTTTGTGCAGGTCTGGCAAACAAAGGTCAGTTGCTTTCTAGATTGATTATATCTACTTGTAATGCACTTCTCATATTTTCCTATTGCCTTCTACCTGACCAAGCATTATTGTATTTTCCAATGGCTCATGTCTTTTCATGATATATCCAAAGTACAACAGCTTTAACGTAGTGCTGGCAAAGAAGTGGGATCAAAAGTATCAGCAAATTCCAGTGTTGAGGAACATGCTGCTTCTGAAGGAAGTCTCTTTCAGGGATCAAATAAATTTAGATTGGGTTGAGGTTAAACCTTCCAAGGATTCTCCTGTAACACATTTTGAGAGCAGAAGCCACAGGGGAAATCCAGAAACAAAAGTGAAGCATCAAATGATGGACTTACATTGTTACGAGGTGCACGGGGTTGCACAGGGTCTTCAGCAGCCAATGCAATGCTGCTCATGGCAATCACCATCAGTATACAGATCTCAAAGTAGCGTAGATTGACAATGTAATGACAAAGTCGGCGAAATCTAGCACATAAAGGTAAAAGATTTTGTAGTAAGTGGCATCACAATGCCAAGCTGATTGAAAATTTCTCTTGTCTTGAGTAAAGAATATAAGAACATCTGAAGTGTGTGTGTGTGTATACATATTAGGCTCATGAAACAAATGCTCTCACAAACCCAATAAGTACAGTGTTACTTATTTCCTGCCCAAGTTCACAAATATTTGTCTAGCTGAAATTAAAAGTCCCAGAAATTAATCCCTTGAAAAATACAAACCTCCTCCCTCCTTTGAATCAAACCGTAAACATTGTTGGAGCATGTAAAAATCAACTGATGTGTGTTAACTGAAAATGCAAGGCATGAAGCTGATTGGTTGGGCCATGCCCAAGGAGCTATCAGAGTCCGGGACTTTTGGCAACAGTTACATATTCAGGTTGCTTGCTGTGCAGGAGCTTTGCAGACAGAAACAGATTGATTTGCTTCTGAGCTGCTGAAAGAAGGTCTCTCATGTGGACACAGAAAGGACCATTTTGAATCTCTCTAAAAGAACACTGTGTTAGTCAATGCAACTGTTCAAATGACTGTGCATATATTACTCTGCATCACAAAGAATAAACTTCTTGTTCTTTGTTGATCATCTGCATGGCATATTTTCTATCTCTGGCAAGACAGTGTGTGGACTGTGAACAACACATGATTTTCATTTCATCACAAACATGGCATGATCAAGCTAATTATCGCATCTTCACATTCAAATCATTTGTAGACTATGGCATCTGTTCCTGTCCTACAAAGCCATTTTTCATTCGATCCACAGCAACAAACACTCACGGGTTTGTGGTTGAGAGGATGAACATAGAGCTATATGGTGGCATGGGTTTGGGGCCATTCTCTCCCTCATCATCTTCTTCTTCCTCCTTCTTCTCTTCTTCCTTCTTAGGCAGAGGTTCAGGGTTGGCATTTTTATTAACTGAAAGCAAGAGAAAGACAATAAGAGTCATCCATTTTTATATATTTCTTTTTGTCCCTGTTTTGTCTTAGCAAGATTTAATCCAGCTGAGGCTAGATATGGAGAAACCTGTGCTGACTGGTCTGCAAGTGGACTCTTTCCTGGAAGTCAATTCCAGAAGAGATAGACAGAATATAATGTCATACTTGGGGATTAGAATGTAGAATTCTTTCCATACATGCTTGGATCAGTAAACCAACATACGACTGCACTAACATAAAGAAGTCAAACTAAACATAGTTCTGTAATACAAAACCATCTGTACAGAAAGAGATGAAATGCAGATATAGACTGTCTTAGAATGTGAATATTTAGGACAGGTAAAACTGTGATTCTTTAAGTGGAATCTGTGAACTCACAGAGATGATTCACCCTGTGCAGCTACATCTTCTAAAATGTCTAGAATAATGTTTCTCAAACTCTGCTCCTCCAGGAGTTTGGACTTCAGCTCCCAGAAATCCCAGCCAACCTACCAGCTGTTAGGAATTGTAAGAACTGAAGTTCAGAACACCCGGAGGAGCAGAGTATGAGAAACTAGAGCAAGGGTATCCTTGTTGTGCAAAACTTGCCCTTCCTAATTTTGCATGATTCTGAGATGGTCCCACCTAATTATCTCAGTTTCTGTCCATTCCACCATGGAGAAACAAACCATAGTAAGAAAGAGCCAAGAAAGGGAAAGAGTGCAGGTTGTGTGAGTTCACAGATTATCATGTGAAGAACCACAGTTACAGATAAGCAATCTTTGTGATCTCTGCAACTCACACAAATTGTGATTGGGTATCTACTGAGGTGGGAATGTTTCATGCTGTGGTTGAATACAATACCGTATTTAAAAACTAGACTTCACTTCTAGAATGAAAATTAAATCTGTAATGATGTATGAAAGCAGAAGGATGGGGCCATGTGGAAGCTCTACTGATGTCATGTATTATTTATTTATTTAACCTATGTCTTTTCATTTTCCCTGTAATGGAAACAAGGCAACCATCAGTGAGGAATGCCAAAAGTGTATCCTAAAAATGTCATATGGATGGGATATCAAGAGTAAGTACTGGTTGTGTCCATGATATCAGCTGCTGCCAAGACTGAGATGACAACATAGGTGTTAAGAGGTTGCAATTTTTGAGAACTACTCCATAAATAGAGGTTGATGAGAGCAATTCTCAAAGAAATCAAGTACAGAGGCTTAACTTTTTGCTAGAAAACCAGAAATATTCCTTGAGCTTTCCCAAGAGTAATTTTAAATATGAGGTTTGGTTTCTTTGGGCATGTTTGGGAAACACTCAACAATGCTGATACTTGTTCAGTATGTGCCTATCTCTCAAACACAAGAGGCAATGTGAATGGTCATCTAGTTGAAGGATTTTCTGATAAGCCTAACACTTCTTAAACAAGCCCATCAAGATAATGAATCCATACACAGATAGGAAGAGAAGATATTCTGTAAAAAAAGGGATAGTCTTAAAATGGAATAAACTACAAAGAAAGGAGAAGATAAAGAAAAAGGGCCAGAGGAAGGATGATTTTAAATGGTGTATTTTAATATTTTGATAAATGTTTTTTTAATGTTTATGTATTGTATGTGAATCTGTGTCCCGGCATGGAATGTTTGCCGTGTATATGCTGTGCTCCGCCCTGAGTCCCCTTCGGGGTGAGAAGGGCGGAATATAAATGTTTTAAATAAATAAATAAATAAATTTCTTATTCACACAACTAGCTTGGCTCTGAACAGCAAGCTCCTAACGATATTGTTACTGTGACCTATAAAGAGAAATTATGAAGATATAGGCAAGAAGAGTAGAGGAGTATGCATAGGAAAATGATAGCCAAGTTCTAGACATTTCTGTGAATACAGCTGCATTCATTTATGTGGATCACAAAGACCACAGAAAATACCTATAAATGGAAATGCTTCAGTAGTGACAGATATATAGAGATCTTTAATATTCTATTCACACTGAGAACTATTCATTTATTCAGCAGATACTATTCCTTGAAATACTTCATTCATCAGACATGATTCAATGAAATAATTAAAAAATCTTGCTATGAGAAAGACCAAATATTTACAAAGACAGTATCATTAAGGTAACATGTATGCTTTTTGCAAAGTGGACAGAAGACCTCAAACATCTTCAAAAATAGCAGATCTTTCTCCTCAAAATGTCATTATTTATTTATTTATTTATTTATTTATTTATTTATTTATTTATTTACCTTACTTATATACCGCTGTTCTCAGCCCGAAGGCGACTCACAGCGGTTCACAACAAATACGAACAGCAAAAATTCAGTGCTACAGTATAAAAACAGTTAACAACCTAACACACTTCTCAGCCCGAAGGCGACTCACAGCGGTTCACAACAAATACGAACAGCAAAAATTCAGTGCTACAGTATAGAAACAGTTAACAACTTAACACATTACACAATTAATAAACAGTTACTACAATACCCATTCACTGTCGTCTCGTCATCAAAAACATGTTCCAGATTTGTCATCCATTGTTCCATTCCAGTGTTTATTAACCAATCATTGCACTAATTATTGGAACGCCTGCTCAAACAGCCAGGTCTTCACTTTTTTGCGGAATACCATTAGAGATGGTGCTAGTCTAATGTCCGTAGGAAGGGCGTTCCACAGCCGAGGAGCCACCACCGAGAAGGCCCTATCTCTCGTCCCCGCCAGCCGAGCTTGAGAAGCAGGCGGGATCGAGAGCAGGGTCTCCCTGGAAGATCTCAAAGTCCTGGTGGGTTCATAGGCAGAGATGCGGTCGGATAGGTAGCTTGGGCCCGAACCGTTTAGGACTTTAAAGGCCAACGCCAGCACTTTGAATTATGACAATATTCTCAAGTTTTCCCAACAGATTTGTATATCCAAACAAAACAAATATATATTTTAAAACCCCAGAAATAAAGAGTCATAATTATGTATCTGTAATTTAAGAATCAACAGAAACAGAAGGCATTCCAGCAGCTGACTCTCACAAGTCAGATATAGAAGACAGAAAAAATCCCAGAGGCTGACTGACAATCAGAATCCACACAAATTGACATAGCCGTAAAACTACATACACATGGCCTGAACTAACATAACTGATAGCCGAATCATTACACCGGTAGAAGGGACAGGATCCACTCTGTCCCCCATTCCCATGTGCATGTTTTATGGTGATCATTTCACTCTTTTGTTTTCTATAATTACCCCCTTCTCTGTATACTCTTTAACTTATACAAACCTTTCCCAATTACTCACAATAACTTTCTTGCCTTCACAGTTGCTCTTAATAGATGGCTACAACCTCCCTGCTACACAAACTGGATGGTCTTAATAATTTCTTGTACTAAATGGGATCCAGTGTTTTACATCTGATATGCATATGACTAACACTTCTGCTTGGTCACTCTGCTGCCTTGCTCTAGTGCTATTGACACAGATCATTTGGCACTCACCTTGCATGATAGCGTTGTTGATGGGTGGTGAGAAGGTGGGTGGCACCTCCACCACGGTGTGCTCTGGTTTCTTGGCAGTTTTGGGTGGATTGTTTTGGGTGGTGGGATTGGTGACAATGAGACTGTTTTTGGGATTTTTAGGGGGCCCAGGACTGGTTGGATTAGAAGGGTTATTAGGGGTTCGGCGACTGGCAGAGTTCTGAGAGTTGGGGAGTGGCGGGTCCAAAGGAACAGGAGGATTTTGGAGTGGTCGGCTTGGTGTGGAATTTAAGTGGCTACCACCTTTGATAGGATTCTGGGGATGACTGATAGGATGTGAGTTTGAGGTCTCATTGGTTGCCAGTTTATTGTTCTTCATATTGTCAATATCCTCTGCCACTGGAGGCTCTAAGCGCCCCATATCCTGTTGGATTGGCCGTGTGGTGGATAGGTTTGGTCCAGGTGGGAGGCCAGGGCCTTGATTCTCTCTGAAACATATACCAAAAGAAGAAATGATGAAAAACAGGTCGAGATGCTATTGTCCATGGCTCATTAAAATATAGGCAGCACTGAAAGCATTATATCTATCCTTCAACTCTGATATCCACGCCATTCATTCCAGCAGTACACAGCACATATTCATGTTTCAGGGCACCAAATGTATACTTTCTCCACACACAAAGTAATATTCTAGCAATCGTTCACACAGTCAGGGAGATGTGTATATAAAATTTAACCGTATCGGCCAAACTGTCTTTCAGCCTATCTGCCATTAATGATGTCACTCCATTCCCATGTCACCTGTCCCTTCTCATTAAAATTATGCTTCAACTGCCACCCTACTCCAGTAGCAACTCAACAAACTCTCAGTAACAGCTTTCTCAAGTACTTTTATAGAGCCCTTTAACACTAAATAATTATAGAACTATGATTCCACTTGAATTGACATTACTTCATTCTATGAAGTGCGGGAGGTCATTGTCTATTTTGAGGCACCAGAGGAACTCTCTGGCAAAGAATTCTAAATATCTCCATACCCCCACCCCACCTACACATTTCAAGAATACAGAGGATGCTGTTGTGACAGTTCAAGTGGAATCACAGCATTATAACTGTGTAGTATGAAGGGGTGCATTGATAAAGCAAACCTCCTCCTCTTGACTCGGGTTCCAACACAGCTATAAGAAAGAACAGCAGATTTATGAAATGGGAGGTTTATGCATTACCCGCTCTGACATTTTTTATTGCAAACATTGGTGGCCTTCATCACCTGGAAGGTATTTATTTTACCAAATTATCAGTTTCATTAAATTATTTTACGCTTCAGCAAACTGGAATTAGTATGATGAAAAAACAATATCCCATTCCTTCAATGAGATTGCCAGTGATCCTGCCTCCTTTCCATTTTACTCACTTCCGGCGCCGGTGCCGGCGTTCCTTGCCATCAGCATCATAAGTAGACTGTGCAGTATGCCGGTGTCGCCGCCGTCTTTCTCCATCAGGATGCTCCCCCTCCACATCTCCCCGTGTTGGCCTGCTTCCCTCACGGTGCCGAGGCCGGCGTTCGACTTTGTTACCTTCCTCACCCCCTCCCTCATCTGGGACCCGTCGATGAGTCCGATGCCGCCGGTGTTCTCGGTCAGCATCAGTGGTACGGGGTGACCCACTGCGGCTTTCTTTGCTGCCTCTGTGCCGGCGATGGGGGTCCAAGGCCTTGATACGCTCTGAGTCACAGTCCCCATGGTAACTACGTTCAAGAATGGCATTATGCTCCTTGCTGGGATAGTCAATCTCATGGTACCCACTTTCCTGGTTGAAGTCAATTTCCTTGCTGCTCCGTGGGTGTCGTGGCTCAAAGCTTCCTGAATTAGGGCGTTCGTACATGTGGGGATCTCGTGGATGCTCATGGTAGCGAGGTGGTTTTCGCAGGAATTCCTCAGGCCGTTGTTGTCTAAAGTGTGGATCCAAGGGTGGCTCATTGGGACGTGTCTTGTTGGTATTGTTGTTTCGGTTCTCCTGAGGATCTACCACGAGTGGTCGGTCTAAATGGGTTTTCATGTCTGGCCGCATTTGCCGGCCATATGTGACTTTCCATCGATCCTCAGGGTCCAGTTCATTGTACAGTGCCTCCCGACTTGCCATTAGGTTCTGTTTCCGCATCTCAGTTGTTCGCTGCTCCCAGACTGATTTGCCACCTTTTTGGTTCTTTTGTTGTTCTTTTCTGAAGAGAAAACAAAAATACTTCCAGCAATGCTGTTAAACCAACACTAATTAGTATTACATCCTCAATCGTCATTCAGTAGTAACTTTTTAACACACTGGGTTAACATTTATTTAGAAAGCTGCCCTTTCCCCCTCAGAGGCAGCCAGATCATGTCTATATAACAAGGGATGAACCCAGACATTATGATGTACAAAAGATGCTAGTGAGCCACTTTCCATTTATAGGTGGATCTGAGAAATCTGAAAGGAAAATGAAAACTCAAGGGCAAGGTTTACATCCTGCTCCTAGCATTGACAGATATATTGTACTTGAGCCCAGATGTATGCAGCGACGACCCAGCCCAGCTCCTAGTACTGCCATGACTGCTTTCCCCAGTCATCAGAAGGCAATAGAAAACAGGAAAGGACAAGCTACTGGTTTAAACAAATTTTCTAGAGCTTTTTTGGCCTTTTGCCCTCTTTCAACAGAGTTCCTCCTTATATCCTACCACCTTAACTTCTTCGTAAGACATCCATGTATCAGGGTCCTTCTGCCTGGGTTAATAATCACATATACAGTTTTCACTGCCAAACTTTAACTCTCTCATGCCTCTTATTAGGGAGGTCAAAATTAGAATTACTCAGCCCAGACCTTATGTTCCTGAACCTCTCTAAAATGTGTGGCATGGAACCAAAGTTTAAACATATTGCTTTGGGGGATGGCTATCTATATTGGCCGAGGACTTCTGAGAATTTTTGTTTTAAAAAAATTTCCATGTTCAGGTCTGCGGCCTGAGTGCTTTCACTTCCTTTCTCTGCTCTCAACTTACAGGTCCAAGGTTTCCCCTCCCAGGTCCACTGAAGACCATGTATAGTTTTGCATTGTTATACAGAGAACAGAGGATTCATGTGTTGATGGATTGATCAAGACAGTACTTACACTGCAATCGACATGTTGGCTGCTGACAAAGGGCTCACTTCCGCTACCTCCTTTGCCTTCTGAAGGGCAAGTTTTTGGTTGGCTGCTTCTTCTTCCTCTTGTTCATCCTGCAAATTCCAAACATTAGAGAAGAGCTACCACCCCTCTGACCTCCTCGCTTGCAATAGAAAAGGCAGGTGCAGTATAAAATCAAAACAAGCAGTCAATGAATAATAAGACAACAAGAAAGTTAGCAGGCATTCGCAAAATGGATTCTCTCCAACAACTGTATGGCTAAACTAAAGGGATCAGAAAGTTACCTACAGAAACAAGTTTCATCCAGTATTGGGATTTAATACTGTAATACTGTAATACTGTAATTACTGATTTGGATTATGTCCAACATTAGTACAGAATCTGTAAAATCTACTGGCTACTTACAGACTATCCAATGTGTCAATTCAGTAAAGATGAAAATTCTCCTAGGCAATGGTTTCTACTGGAAGTCACTAGAAAGGGTGATTAACTTTTGAAATATGTTTCAGCCCTCAGCCCACCACACTGTTTAACATTTTGTTAAGGTTTCTGTAAAAACAGGAAATGACTTCTAGACACTTTGGATGCTTTCTAGGCTTGTGCACATTCAATTTGGTCAGTTCCCCACGGTGAATCTGGCTTGTTCAGTTGACTGTAATGGAAGGGCTCAGCCACCATGTTTTTTTCAGCTGAAATGGGCCACATGGTAGCCGGTCACGGCTCCGCCTCTCCTATTTGGCATCATGCGGTGTGCAAAAAGGCTGCCGCGTGCTCACACGAGTTTCCCTATAAGCCCTGCCTGTTGGGCCAATCAAAATAGAAGAATAATGCGACACGTCTTATGCAAGCTTTGTGTTTTTAATGGGGCAAGTGCCTCCATTGCAATCAGTTGCATTCTGGTTCTAGAGAGGCGCTTCAGTCAAATTGCCTTGCCACTTGCTCTCAGCTTTATATTTTGGCTTGGCTTTGCCTCTTTCTAGCATTGAATCTTTTTGATCTTCCTTTATTTTCTTGATACTTTTTATTTAGTGGGACTGGGAGTTGGGAAAGCACAAACAAGAAATGCAAAAGCTTTGGAAGAAGTTGCTTGCTGTTGTTTTTTTTATCAGTAAAGAAAAAACTATAGTAATAATAATAAACTTTATTTATACCCCACCACCATCTCCCAATGGGGACTCGGGGCGGCTTACACGAGGCCAAGCCCAGACAACGTATTACAGCAAAATAAAACCAAACATAAGCAATAAGTAACAACCTTATAATTACATAAAAACATATGAATATATTAACAATATCACATTACAATAAACACAATCACAGTGACAGTAGGTGGGCCACATGTGCAGGATAAAATGTTAAAGAACTCAAATGAGATAAGAAGAGGAGCAAGTTATTTGCAAGAGGGAGCTCATAAAAAACACAGGGTTGTGGAACCAAACTTTCCCATTAGAGGGGGCATGTACTCCAGTGACAGAAGCGTTGAGGGGAGCAGTAGTGTTATGTTGTGCACCTACTCACCAAAGGCGCAGTGGAAGAGCCAGGTTTTAAGGTTCTTTTTAAAGGTTTCTAGGGTAGGGGCTTTCCAGGTAATGAGTTCCAGAGTTGGGGAGCCACAGAGGAGAAGGCTCTCTCCCTTGTGCCCTCAAGATGAGCTTGTAAAACTGGCAGGGGTGAAAGGAGGGCCTCCCCCGAAGATCGAAAGGCCCGCATTGGTTCATGGAGAGAGATACGGTCACGAAGGTAGGCAGGTCCCAAACCGTTTAGGGCTTTATAGGTGATAACCTGTATCTTGAATTGGATCCGGAAAATAAACGGCAGCCAGTGAAGCTCCTTAAAAGGGGGGGGGGGTGTCAACTGCTCCCTGTAACTAGCCCCAGTTATTAATCTGGCTGCTGAATGTTGGACAAGTTGTAGTTTCCGAGCCGTCTTCAAGGGTAGCCCCACGTAGTGGGGCACTGGGCTGTGTGATGTGGAACTGCATCTTTGACATTTGGTAGGAAGGAATGGCACACTACTGCTGCTCCTGGAGAAGTAACACAGTGGGGCCAGCGGGGGATACCTTTTGGGGAATTTTTAAAGATTTTATTTTTTAAAAGAAAAGAAATTCCTAAAAATCAGGGGATGACCCAAACGTTATAAAACTTGGTGGGCTAACAGTAGTAGATGTGTCCTCCAAGTGTGATCATCCCGATAGCCCTAAATATGACAGGGAGGGGAACCTGAGAAGCCCCCCCCCCCATTGCTAACAATGAGCTGGATCTAGCCACATTTTTTGGCTGTGGACTGAAAATGGATAATTGCCTACCCTCCCATTTTCAGGAGGTGCATGAAAACGGATCCAGGGGTGTCCCAAAATTTGGCCAGCAGAAACGGATTGAGGTTCAGCCAAAATGCACATGCCTAGTGCTTTCTCCTGTTTGGGGGCATTTTGAGATGCCCTTGAAACTCTGAAAGCATTTGGGGAGCAAAAGCTACCCCCAGACTTACCAAAGCTGTCTCCTTCTAGAAAACATATATACAATACAAGGAACATGTATAAATGAAAGTTTATCCTGAAACAGAATACAACCTACCTCATCCTAACATCATCCAACATAACCTACCATCTGCCAATCTGGGAAACCATTTACTAATGATCTCATTCAACAGATATAGTAAGCAATCTTTTCTCTGCCCACTGAACAAATCACATTCAATAAACAAGCATTCTCCACCCCCTTGCATCACACAATTAGAAGAGCAGTTCCCACCTTGGTGAGCTCCTGTGCATTGGCCAGATTATCCACAGCGATAGCCAAGAACACATTAAGCAAAGTGTCTGAGTTTTGAGTGTCAAGGCAAAGCCAAAAGCAGCTCTGATTTCAACCTAATTTCACTGTCAGAATAGATTTCTCTTCATGGACTACTACATTCTCATCCCCACAAAGCCCTTTCCTTTCAAAAATGAAGATGATGCTTACCAAGCTTAGTAGAGAAAGACTACACATACTCATCCAAATCTAATCCCTACTTCCATTTGTTGATGCTTGAAATTGCTGTAAGTTGACTTCAGCTTATGGCGATCCTATCAATGAGAAGACCTCCAAGTTACCCTATTTATTAATAACCCTAATCAGGTTTTCCAAACCCAGTGCTGTGGCCTTCCTGATTAAATGTATCTACTTGCAATGTGGTCCTCCTCTTCGCCTATTGCTTTCTACATTACAAAGCATTGTTTATTGTATTTTCAAGAGAGTTCAGTTTTCTCATGATAGGTACAAAGTATGACAGTCTCCGTTTAGTCAACCAAGTTTACCCATTTATTTGTCTTTTTGATAGCCCATGATTTCTAGTGATTGTTTAATTTTCAAAAACTCTATTAAAAATGACTATGATTTCAAGATTTCTCTTTCTGTTTTAAAACCTAAAGATGCATTCCCTCACTGGTTGAACTAAACTGAGACATGCCGTAACCATGCAGCAGAAGATTCAAATTGGAATAACCATCAAGCAATCCTGGCTCCCTGGCATCTCCTGGTGTAGTAAGAACAGAGTGCTTGCCTGTAACTGTGATTTTTTCCCCAGTGAAATCTGTGAATTCACATATATTGGAAATTCTTGTGTCTGCAGAGCATGTTCAGAATTTTAGGGAGAAGAGTAACGGGTTTTCGCATGAGCCCTATCCTCTTTGCTGTACATGCCTGTAATGATTTTCTTAAATTTCTCTCAGTTCTTTAATATCCAAGCACAGAAAGGATACAGTTACCAAACAAAGTCAGTACAATGAAATAGATTGAGAACATCATTCCTTTATCGACACCGCCCTGAGATTGGATACCATCATACATTACTTCATTCCAGTCTTCACCAGTCAAGATCTGAAAGACACAGCATATTAATTGGAATGCCAGACAACAAAACTGTAAATAGCTCAGTTTCTGTGTTACTATAAAGAGGGTTTCATAGCGAATCAAAAGATAAATTGCATGTTATCCTTAAGCAAGAGGATTAGAACTAAAATGTAAAATACATTAGTAATTTACTGGAATATGCCACTGTAGTATGGGCTCCTTCTAGTGGCATAAAATTAGATTTCTACATGTGCATTGGAATTACTGCCGCCTTTCCTCCTGTGAACCTCTGTGCTCTGAAATCTTTAGGTGAGGCCCTTCTCTCAGTCCTTGCACTTTCACTGGCTCCGGTTTTGGAAGTGTGAGATAGTGCGTTCTTGCTCGCTCACACCTTTCTGCTCTTTCATTAGCAGGCAAAAACATTTTTATTCAGACAGGCTTTTAAAACAGAATATTTTAAAGACTCAGTTGAGGGTACTTTTGTTTTAAACTGAATTGTTTTAAACTGAATTTAAACTGAATAGCTTTTTATTTTTTAAATGTCATTTTAATTTTTTAAGTATGAGTTCCTTTGGCATGCTTGAGCTGCTTTGTCCTTTTTAAAACTGTAAACTGCTTTGAATCCCAGTTTTGGGGGGAAAACAGGACAACATAATAATAATAATAATAATAATAATAATAATAATAATAATAATAATACAACCCTCTGCTGAACAGATGTGGCTGTAGGTTGAAGAGGAAAGGGAGGGGGAGCTGTCCTAACAGCACCTTCTATGCTTTTGGTGGATGGACTGTAAGGTAAGGAGGTCGAACACTTATGATTGCTTTCCATGTTATTAAAATGCTTAACACTTCTTTTTCTGGTTTGTGCTATGGCAAAACATTTATTCATTTGAACTGTATGTATCAACAGTGCCTCTAGAATGCCCTTTAAACAGTGATGAAGGCAACTAGGCAAAGACATCAAATGAAGAGACACAAAATAAAAGGACTGCAGCAAGGAGTGTTTGTTTATTTTTCCTTTACAATGAAGACATAAAAGACTGAAATACATAAAGAATGGATTTTAAAGTTTAAAACAAAGTTCTTGTGGTAAAGTTCTTATGGTAAACTTGTGTATTATTCCTTGTTATACTGCATTATTATTGAGTATTGTTAATTAACTGTTCTTATCTGAATATTCATGTTTATAAATATATCTCTATATGGAAGAATGCAGAAGTTAGCCAAACAAAACAAATTGGAGAGACAATACATGCATTTCTTTCCAAAAAAACCAAAATGAATGGGTAGCCCACTACTAAGGGACTGCTTTAACTTTACTGTAGATGGGCATAGCATGGCCCTGAGATGTTTTTTTTTTTAGCCCCAGATATCTCCAGAGTTCTCTGTTTCTCCTTTTTATGGCCCCAAAAAGAATGAATAGTTGCATCTGGAAGCCTCCATGTGCAACAGTCAACCTTTCAAAACATTTTTGTTGAAATATTTATCTCCTGCCTTTTTATGATGAGATCTCATAGCAGCAAACTAATAAAACAGTACAAAGGAAACAATTCCAAATCAAAAGCAATAAATAATGTAAACAAGATAAAGAGATATTAAATTCTCAAATCAGTCAAAACGGTTTCAAATGGCTCAAGATTTTTTTAAATGTACATGCTTAAAAGGAAATAGACACCAAAGGCTTTATTTCAAAGTCATGTCTTTTTGAGTTTGCAAGGACTTCCTGTACTATTTAATATTCTTTTAAACATTTCTAACAAACAGAACCAGATTCCATCCACTTTGTGGTTTTTGTTTTGTTTTTCAGTAGTCCGTGTGGCCCCCAGAGGATCACAGAACATAAAAGCATCCCAGACTCATAACAGTTGCCTACACCTATTCCTCAGTATGCAACCACAAGATGAAACACAGAAATCGAGGCACAGTAAGACAACGTTCCTACCAGCTGCCACTGGGGAAATGTTAAAATATAGCATTTACCTCCAAATGTAGCATTTACCTCAGGCAATCAGGTTAAAGGACAATGGATAATATTTGACTATGGCTTGGAAGTGGATTTGGATAAGCAAAGCGGAGTAATAATTAGTATATGGCTAAATAAATAGCCACCAGACTGGCAATAGCTAAATGGATCATAAAGTATACTGTTTAATTTTTATTTTAATGGTCATGGTTTTAATTGTGATTTTTGCTATTTGTATTTCATGAAGCGGCATTGAATTGTTGCCAATTGTAAGCAGCCCTGAGTCCCCCTAGGGGTTGAGAAGGGCGGGGTAAAATTTTTCGAAATAAATAAAAATAAAAACCAAACTTCAAGATATTTTGAACAATAGTTCCTTTCTTCTTTCTTGTAACTACATGTCTGTTCAACTTGAACTGGGTAGGAAATTGTGTCAATTAGGAGTTGAGGATACCGACAGATACTGTCTGAATTTCTTTGACATACCAACATATCATTCTAACTCATGTGGTCATCACTGGAGAAACAAGGTAGGAAATGGTTTCCTTTCATTGCTCTTCATACCTGAAATACTGTCATTATTGCTGCTGGGAAAGTGTCAAAATTGGTTGGAGGGGTTCCTTCATCAAAATTAAACCTGTATAAGAGAAACACCAGTCACACAACACCAAAAATGTTATTCACAGTTCCAAAATCATTTCTACTTCATTTCTATCCTTCAACTCCAAGACAATCTAGTTACATCTTCTTCTTTGAGAACCACTATAGGTTTCAGAAACCTTCAGGTGATTGTGTGGATATATGGCTTGTATAGGGCACTAACTTTACCATTACACAGAACAAAGTTGTATCCTCAGGCAGCTATCTCAGGTATCATGAATTGGGAAAAATATATATGCACACAAACTGCTAGGGAAGGGGAAAGCTACTTGTGGACTGTCTGCGTCAGCTGCTAAAATAACTTGCCTTGAATGCCATGGATTCTGATTGTTAGGGAGGCACAACTCAGGCACATAATGTTTTGGACTGGCCGTGTGTCTGTGTATTTGCAAGTCAGGAGGTGCAGAAAGATTCCAGCAGAAAACTGGCAGATGTTTACAGAGATTAGTTATAGCATTTAGGGTCCTACAATTTAGAGTTGTATGTAGCTAGTATAAAGTTATCCTGGCAATCAAATCAGCAACTGAAATATTTATTGTTTTTAGAGGGTCTAAAATAGTGTGAGCAAGAGTTGTAAATTCTTGGCTGTCCATGTGGTTTACCTTATCTAAAACATTCCATGAAGAGTTAGCCTGGGAAGTGACTATAAAATGTGTGTTTGTTTGGGTGTATGTGTCTAGAAAAATTCATCTACTGTAGCAGTAGCTATTTTCAAGACATGACGATTCAGACATCATGATTACAGTTTAATAAACTATTGTTCCTCAGATCAAGAGTAAGTGTTCTATTATCACATCAGCTCCAAAGTTGGACATGCTAGAGGACAGGGGAAGGGGCTGTGCTGGGAGATGACCAGCTACATCATGCCATAACGTATAATTCCTATGGAAGATACCTCCACTAAGAATATAACAATGAAAATCACAATCCCCATCCCTTTGTTCCCTTTACTCACTGGCCCCCAAAGAGTTGCATTCCCAAAAGGGCAAAGACGACTATGAAGAGGAAGAGGAGAAACAGGAGGCTGATGATGGACTTCATGGAGTTCAGCAGAGATACGACTAGGTTTCGTAGGGAAGCCCAGTACCTGTCAAGATAATCCACTTATTAGCTATGTCGAGAAAGCGTCTTTTAGAACCAAGCAGCAATCACTAAAGAGGAAATACAGCCTGATGAATACCATGCCATGTGGATTTACAAATCTAGCGCTTCCTGTGTTGCTCAGAGGGATTTAGGTGCTCCTCTCATTTCCATTATCTGTGAGTCGGGTTGGCTTGAAAGAGAAAGATTGGTTCAAAGTCACTGAGTCAACTTATGGATTGGGGTGGAAGGGAAGACAGTTTTCAATAATGGAAACTGGATTCCTCACAGGTTCTACTCCAGTGCTGTACTTATGACTCCACTGAAATATTGTATTTCTCTGTTTTACTCAAAGCACGCAAATTGAACAATACCTGCCCAAACCTTTTACATTCAGTAAGGGTGCTGCCAAGCCTAACCTATGCTGACATCCTGGCTTTGCCTATGCCTTGTTCAAGCCTATGGCAAAAAAAAAAAAAAAGAAAAAAAAAGAAAAAAAAAAAGAAAAAAAAAGGGAAAGGTGTTTCTGCTACAAAAAAAAAATGGCCCAATCAGAGCTTGGTGCCTTTTTTTACTTTCTCAGCTTGCTATAGAAGCAGCATATGCCTTTGAAGGCAGGAAGAACTGACAGCCCACCCCCTCAACCATTCACTTTCCCCGTTGCCAAATCTGGGGTTGGTGCCATTTTCCCCCTCAGCTTGCTTTGTAAGCAGTATGCATGTGAACGAGCAATCCAACATAATTTTTAATAGAGACTTGTGATCCTCAGCTTACATTCCCAGTCTCTCTTGGTTTTTTTCTCATGAGGCTTCCAAAGAGACTGGGAATGTGAGATGAGACTTATAGATGTCTATTGAAAATGGCGTAGGGAGCAGGAGAAATGGCAGTAAATAATCAAATCCGTGGAAACAGCACACACAAATATGTGGGGGGGGGGCAACAATACAATATGATATTTTATCTGACAATTTGGGGACTGCATACAAAAGCAATGAGGTACTGATTGTTACTTCTGTAGAGTATATAGACTGATGACACCTTCAAAGAATTGCCATGTTTATTGTATTTTCATAAATAAATGTATACTCCAAAATGCCAGTGATAGTTAATGTTTGCTCCTGTTGATTAACATGTTTTCCTATCCCTTTTTAGGCTGTAATAAACCTTCAAAAATGATTTTTATACTTTATTTGTGTTCTGCTTCCATTCCTATCCCAGTTAAAGAGATGCAGCAAAATTATGTCCCCCAGGACACAGAAGAACTGGCAATGTTTGTACAAAAGTCACATACAGCATATCTCACTAGATATATACAAAACTATGCTCCATTAAACTTTCTTAACTTAGGAATTCCAAATTATTCTTTTTTTTAACAGTATGAAGATATATTTGCAAGACAAATCTCACATATTTCTATTTAACTGTGTTTAAGTACATATAGTGGGCCCTCAGTATTTGTGGGGAATTGCTTCCAGGATCTCCAGTAGTCACCAAAAATGTGGCTGTGCAAATCCCTTATAGAACAGAGATCAAGCATCACTCAATTATTCTTCTCCATCACTCTGTGCACACTATGAAGGTAGTTGTCATGACCATGTATACCTCACCCTGACAACCAGTCTTCCTTCTTTACATGCTTTCCCTCTTGACCAAATCTTTTTCTCACACAACCTTGCACCCCACAAAGGCAGTTGCCACCATGCATGCAAGTCTCATCTTTCCTCCCACCCCTCAGCAATTAGTTTTACTTCCTGTCATTTGCTCCCATACCACACCTCAGCTGCTTCTTTACGCTCAGCAGAGGAACACTGCAGAGTAACTTCCACCAAGTACTCATGAGACACTACTGATTGAGATGGGGGAGGAATTAGACATACTGCACTGTTTTGGTTTTTTTTTTTTTGGGAATATTTTGGAATATTGTATTTTTGGATGTTTAAAATATTTGCACTGTTAAATTCTTTACTACTGCAGTTAATTGAAACCATGGATGCAGAACCTGCAAATAGAAAGGGCCCTTTGGACACATATTTCTACAATATATACCTGCAGAACTAACCTACTTTAGATAACATACATGTAGACATGCCTACATTCAGGGACTAACTAACTAACACATTTTCATTATTGAGATGCTGACCTCAAGAACACTTACTTTGTGACTTTGAAAATGCGCAGTAACCTGAGAGCTCGTAAGACGCTGATCCCGAAGGAGGTGCCAGGCTTTACCACAGCCCAAATCACCTCAAAGATGCTCCCAATGATAACCTGCCCAAAATGAAGGCAAGACACCAAGTTATGTAGGCCCCACTCTGAACAAGACATTTGCCAGCAGTCATAGACATAGCTTACTTATCTAATTAGATATTCACATGCAAAGTATACACATACAAAGGGGGGCTGGGGCTCACTAATGAAGCATATGTTTCACATGTGAATGGTTCTAGACTCGATCATGGATCTCTAGAAAAAAGAATGAAGTAGTATAGAGTGTGAAACACTTCTGCTTGAAATTGGGCAGATACACAGCCTGTTAGGAAAGGGTTTCCTGGGACAGATGGTCAAATAACATGACCTGTTATAAGCAACTTCTAGAAAATAAAGACAGCATAGAACTGTGACATTCTAAAAAATAGATGTCCCGAAGAAACCAGAACCATTTAACTGCCCTAGTTGAAATCATTCCAACAAATACAAATATTTCTGCAACTGTGTTTAACAGTGCACTGGATTTGTCACAATTAGCTTTAGAATCATCAAACGTAAATATTCAAAGCATAAACAAGTCACATAAAATAGTCTGCTTAATACATTTTGTTTTGACTTATTTCTTGATCATCTAATGCCTTGGCAAGTTGAGTGAAAACTGTAATGAAGGTGTTAAAAAACTCCAGATTCAAGAAGAAGAAACTTCAGCTTCACTTGAGAAAGATAGATGTAGTAGTTTATTTCAGTATAAAAAAAGATGTAAAGGAATCTAAAAGCACTTTTGAAATTAACTGGAAAAAATATTTTTTTAGCCTAAACTTGCATGGGTTATGATATATTCCATCAGAAGCAATTTAATCCACATCTGAATGAAGTGGACTTTACCCTTTATCTGAAAATGTGAAGTGTAGTCCATGGAAGTTTATGCTAGAAACTTTTTCTCAGATAATCTCAAAAGTGCTAAGGCATTTTTCCAGTTTCAGCATCAGAACATGTTTGGTGTGTGGTTGTGCCTTCAAGTCATTTCTGACTTATGGTGATCCTAAGATCACTATCCTTTGGTCTTCTTGGCAGGAATTATTTCAAAGGGGTTTTCCACTGACTTCATCTGAGGCTGACAGAGTGTGATTTGTTCACAGCTACTTAGTGGGTTTCCACTGCTGAGTGGAGGTTTGAATCCTGGTCTTTAGAGTCATAGTCCAACACTCAAACTACTAAGCTTGGGTTCAATGTGTACCTGCACCAAAATTGCACAATATATATTGAAGGAGCTGATGCTATCTGAATCAAATATTTGAAGTTCTAATAGCAGGCAAATAGAGCAACAGTAAATCTTTCAATGCCAAGATCTTATTTATTTGGTCCTAGTAGCAACGTACATTTAGCCATTACAGGTGAACAAAATTTCTGTTCAAAGAGTAAAGGCTAGAACATATAAAGCAAAGATGTTCATTTGAGTGTTGATATATTTCCATGCTAGCAAGCCTCTGTTGTAGAGAGGCACTTGGAATAAGTAGCTAGCTAAGCACTACTGGGTCAGGCAACAACAGAAGCCCTGTGGAATATATTGTAAAAAAAAAAAACTTACAGCACAGTCGAAGCAGTTGAAAGATGAGTGAAAGTAAGGCCGCGTTCCGAGCCCATACATTTTTATAAACATTTCGGACATAAAGAGCCCTAAGAAAATGAATTCTGCATAGTCTGAAAGAACAGAGAAACAGAGATAGAGAAACAATGTGAAAATATTTTTCATTCTGCAAAGCTATCACATGCTTTGTTTTCCTTGCCACAAAACTACTCCCATGTGACTTGCTACAATTTCCAGCTTTGTTAAGGATTCTCTCTCTGAAATAAGTTATTTTTTTTTAAAAAAAATCATCTTTGTGGACTTGAGAAAGTGCTAATTTCTACCAGAAGCAAGTCATTTGGTGAACAGATTGTTAAGAACGTTTTAAACTACTTATAAATGTTGTTATAAAGGAAAAGACTTCCATTTAAAAGATGGTCCTGTTTAAGTTTATCACAGATAAGGAATCTAGTAATCAATCTAGCAACGAATGTTCCACAAAAAGCAATCCAATAGCAACATTCCTGCCACAACTGCAATAATACAATTCAGGAGTCATTTATCTCTGTGGCTTGTTTCTCATGGAGGCTGGGAAATCTGTAAATGGGATGCATTCTATCAGACTATAAACTCAGGACTCGCACAACTCTTCCATATTAAATGATGATGACAATGATTACTATGAATTATTATGAGTTGATTCCACAGCAGATAAATGCCCTTTATTATGTTACATTCAACTGAATACAGAATTAAAATGGAGGTTCCACACAAAGTTGTATATTATCTCACAATTCTCTTTCCCCTTCCATCTATGATGCCTCAATAGAACTTGGTCCCTTTCAACTTTAAATCAGTGCTTTCTGATGGGATCTTCTGCCCTTTTTATTTTTTCCTATTAAAAGAGGTGAGATGATTAGTAATGACCTCCTTAACTTTCTTTATATCAGTGGTTCCCAACCTGTGGTCCATGAACCACCAGTGGTCCACAAAAACTAAAATATGGTCCACGACCTCATCATTACTACACCGCTGCAACGAGAGTGACTGGTCTCACAAAACCCGAGCATTAACAAAATCCATGGATAATAACACAGCCCAACAAAAAAAAATCTTGTTGTTTCAGGCCTGTTCCTCGGGTTATTTGGGGGGTTCCAATCCAATCCATTTATCGTATCATTATTTGGAGTGTTGATTCATAAAATTGCGTTGGAAAGACCAGCACTCTTTTTTGTATGGAATGAGTATTATCATTTTGTCCCAAAAAGATTGTGGTATGCTGAGATACATGCTTGGATAATTGAAAGTTGGAGAACCAAGGTAGAAGATGATTAAAATCAGCAACCAGTCTCCCTTTCTTTTCTATCTGCTGTTGTGTTATTCTTTCTTACCGCCTCTCAATCACAAGTCCTCTACAACAACAAGAGAATTAGGCACAGGGTGTGGAACAGAGGCATCTTGTACAGAGGCACAGAAGAAGGTTTAAGGCAAGACTGTTTAATCACCTTCTGTTAAGCCTAACAAGGGGGATGTATCATTGTTGTAGAGTCCTGCATATCTATATGCTCAAAAGCAAGATCAGCAATTGGTGTTGGTGAAGCAGTGATATTCACTGGTCATGTATAGTACCAGCTCTGCATAATGTTACAGGTCCTCAGGAGGAGAGAGTGTAGCTGAGTCAGTGACCTCAGCATTAGGTGAAGAGGCTAATGGAGAAGGTGAGGAAGGAGAGGAGGATGCTGAGTCATAAACTTCATCAGAGGACTCTGCCCAACATGTAGTATTGGTGACACAGGCTGGACCAGAAGAGATGGAACCAGAAAAGAAGATTGAATTGATGGAGACACAAAGGCAAGGGAAGAAACAGTCTGAGTAACCATATTAGTAACACACAAGGAAGTGGTGCTAGGTAAACAATGACAGTAGTCACACTAGTGCTTTGAAAAGAAACAACATATACTTCTACTCTGTGGGGTAGCAGTAGGTTTCAGAACTAGTATCAGAGGTCTAACCAATAACATAGTTGTATCACATGGAGGTGGAGATGATGTAAGTATATGACATGATGATAGTGATGATCTGCTACAGTACCATGGAGATCTGTAATGACTATGGTATCACTGTAATTCAAATTAGGTGAATGATTGTGGCACAGATTTCTAGGAGTGGATGAGCATGGCTAATAAGATGTAAGATAGTAATTCTAATCAATTTTTCCAAGACGTAGGATAGCCATTCCAATCAAAGAGTGGTGGAGGCTCCTTCTATGGAGGCTTTTAAACATAGGCTGGATGGCCATGAGTTCGGTTTGCTTTGAACGCGATTGTCCTGTTTCTTGGCAGGGGGTTGGACTGGATGGCCCATGAGGTCCCTTCCAACTCTATGATTCTATGATTCTATCAATCATAATATTATACCGAGATGCATGATGATTCTTCACAGTACTGTTGATCAGTGTATAATAAATGAGAGCCTGTAGAGATCCACTCATGATGGAATGGAGAGTGAGAATGGACAAGTGACCATTGATGACCCTAATCAGGATGTAGTTTGATCTTGCTTATAGAACAACAGGGAATTGCTTAGCAAGAACAGATCAAACAAGTTCCTCTTACAGCAGATGAAGATAAACTGAGAGGACAATAGTCTGAGGGGGCTGGACCTTATGCAGTGTGGGGAAGTGTTGGAGTTTCCTGCCAAAGCTACTCAGCTGTTGAACTTTCTTAATGGGGTCTCTGTACAGACTCAAAACCCCATTTGTGTAAGCCAAGATGAAGAACCCACAATTCCACAGATGGTACCATGACAGTTAATGTGATATCAAAATGCTGTAATTGTTTAGTTACAAAGAAACAATTGTTAGAAAGAGAGTTTTCTGATTGAAAACAGGGCCTCCCCTGGACCAAAAACCCCTGGATTAAAATTGGAATGAGATAAAAATAAAGCATTTAAGTGGAAATACAGGAGATAGAGGGGTTATAAAAACATACTGCAGATCACAGTATGCTCTCTGAAGATAGTAACAAATGAAAATTTATTTCAGAGGAACATGTTTTAAAAATCCAAAATCTGGGGATTTCTGGTTATTTCAAATGACAGTACTTAAATGGGAGCTTAATTATCTCCATAGATTTGTGTAAAGAAAAAGTCTTTATCACTGTTTTGTAACTGGCTATACTATCTATAAACTTTCATGGCCAAACATGATTCTTGTGGCAAAACTGCATTGTATGAGTTTCTCCTTTCCTTCCAAGATTATTGGGAAAAAAGAAAAATACGGAAGTTTGGTACTCACAGAGGAAGTTAGATAGCCAATCTGGCTGGTTGTAGTGTACTATAGCAACACACAAAGTGTTGAGAGCTACCAGACTGAGGACTGTCCAGTAAAAGGCCTGAGTTTTGACAATTCGACGGATATAGAAACGCAACCTCCGCTCTTTTTTGTGAAAGAAAGTGGCGTTTTCCAGCTTGGCACTTTTGATGCTGGCTCGAGCAAAGGGTGAACCTGCAGAGAAGAGATAAATGTTAGGAACCGGGAAGCCTTTAAATATACAATGCATACTAAACTAGTTCAGTCCTGTAGCTGATCCAATCCAGTATGCTTAACAATAACTACAACTGAGGCGCCAGAGCAACATCTTATCTTGCATTCGGGAAGTATGAAATACATTTAGTTGCCAGTTAGATCTCATTTTGACCTTCAGTAGACAGAAGCAGGAAGAGACCTAAGGAAAGCCTAAGGTTCATCGCTTTTCACAGTTCACAGCATCATTAGCAGCATTAATTCTGGAAAAGATTGCCACAAGATTTTCCTTTACAGGTTGCAAAATGTTTGGTAGTATTCAAATTGAAAATTGCTATTAAATTTATATTTTAAAAATCCCTTCTTTTGTCTGCTCCCTCTAAAAGTAGCAGGGTGAACTAAATTATGTACAACTCCTGCCCCGCAAGCTACAGAATGTGCTTGTGGGTGGACACACAGTGCTGACATTGTGCTCTGGGATTATTTGTTCACCAGATTATTTGTTCAACACTGATAATTGTTCTCTCTGTTCACAACTCAAGAACACCAGTGAGTCCAGTAATTGCTTCTTGTTGTTGTCCAGGGAAGAGATTCAATTAGATTTCAAATACAACAAATTATCAATGCATCTCTTAGGGAAGGGAATTTTCCACCCTGTTTAAAAGAAGCAGTAGTTAGACCACTGCTGAAAAAGCCCTCCCTAGATCCCCTGGACCTTAATAACTATAGGCCAGTGTCAAACCTTCCTTTTTTTGAGGAAGGTGATTGAGAAGGCAGTCGACTTGCAACTCCAGGCAGTCTTGAATGATACACACTTCCTTGACCCATTTCAAACCGGTTTCATAGCAGAATACAGAGATGATCTCCATTTTAACACTGACAAGAGGTGTTAACACTGACAAGAGGCTATTGGTGCTTCTAGACCTATCAGCAGCTTTCGATACTGAATCCAGACAAAACAGAGGTGCTTGCCATTGAGGGTCCTAATCTACGGATGAAAATGTGTCAAGCAGTTCTGGATAAGGTTACACTTCCCTTGAAAGATTGTGTTCGCAGCTTGGGAATGGTCCAAATGTCAGCCAAAGTTGATGTGACAGTCAGGAGTGCTTGCTATCAGCTTCAGCGGATATGCCAGCTGTGCCCTTTCCTAGAATCTGAGGACCTAAAGATGGTAATGCATTTGCTAGTTACCTCAAGGTTGGACTTTTGTTAAGCACTTTACATTGGACTACCACTGTACCAAGTGTGGAAACTCCAGTTGGTTCAAAAGGCAGCAGCCAGATTGGTCACAGGGACATCCAGGAGTGAGCATATTACATCTATACTAAAGTCACTCCACTGGTTGCCAATTAGTTTCTGGACAAAATGCAAAGTGCTGGTTTTGACCTCTAAAGTCCTGCGTGGTTTGGGTCCAGGTTGCCTATAGGATCACCTTCTCCTGTACAATCCGCCCCACATACTTAGGTTCTCTGGGGGGCATCTACTCCAGCTGACCAGAACCCGACTGGCAACCATCACCCAATGGACCTTTTCATCAGCTGCCCCAAGACTGTGGAATGTCTTGCTGGGAGAGATCTGACAGCTAAATCAGTTGTTGGAATTTAAGAGCCATCTCTTCCAGCAAGCATACCCAATCAAATTCAAGTTTTGCATTTTAATCTACATTTTGTCAGTGGATTTTAACTTGCATTTTAACTCTCTGTTTCTTGTTGTATGTCATTTAACAGTGTTTTATCTCTTGTTCTAATAATGTTGTATCCTACCTCGAGCCACAGAGAGAAGCAGGCAATACATTTATTATCATTGTTGTTGTTAAAGATGACACTACAATACTAGAAAAAAATGTTTCCCATAAGAGTGGCACTTGCATTATCCAGTTACACATATACTGCAGCCTGTTAACACAATGGTCTTCACTTACTGGATTGGGATCTATTACTGAATCACATCTGGACTAAAAGTGGCCTGGAAAAAAGCACTACAAAAATTATTTGAAAAAGTTGTTTTTGGATTACAATTTCCAGGATCCACCATCCAGCATGAAGTTTATATTGGCTGGAGGATTCTAAGAGGTGTGGTCCAAACAAGTTAAATGTTCTGAGCATTGAAATAAATGTAATATAAGACCCCTATAGCTGTGGAACCCCTCTCTATGCAGTTTTACTCACCTGGAGAAAAAGGGTGTCTCTAGGCATTTGCTAGATCCTCGAGTATGACTATATGGGATGCTTCTTTCAGAAGTTCCTATAGAGTCAGACCAGAAGATCTAGCATAACCCCGCTCAAAGGATCTTTATGGTATGGTGTTCTTACTTAATTTAGTTTTAAGAAATGCTTTCCCTAACACATGTTCACTTTAAAGGTGGGCCTGAAGAAGTTGAAGCTTATATCGGAGCACTTGTCGCCATGTTCGTTTTACCTACCCACTGAGGAGATGTCAGCCAGCGGGTCATCTGCTTCCTCTGGGTTCAGCAAATCTGTCTTGCTCTTCTTAATTGTGGCCCTCCGAAGAGCTCCTACAATAGGAACATCGTAAAAGAAAAACACATTATTCTCTAGGCCTCTTAGACTCAGTAAATTAAAAAGGACATGTTTTGCATGTTCAGAATTTGGAAATTTGGGGGGGGGGGGAGAAATCCCAGAATGCCCTAGTCATCCTGGTTAGGGACCATGTTAGTTGAGCTATTCTGATTACTGCAGACTCTCTGCGATGACCATAACTTCCCCATTAACTTAACTGACAGAAAGAGGAAGATGGGAAGCAATCCAAGTAGAAGCTTTATCAACACCCAGTTCAATTTCAGTGACTAATCTAAAGTCACCTAATGGGGTCATTCATTTCTATGTTACATGCAAATGTTTTGTAAACATTCTAATTGACCTTTGTTTACGGAAAAACAACTTCAAGGTTGAGAGATTTAAAGAGAAGACAAATAAAGGAAGAAGTCACTAGGTTTTCCGATAAGTATGCTTCTCTAGAATCCCCCCCTTTGCACCACTGCTTAGGGTTCCTCTGAGGAAGTCCCACTACTGTGGCCAAATGTTGGATTTCTACTCTCTAACCCACCAATCACAAAGACTTGCATATCGTTCAGTGCAATTATTAAGTGCAAGGGCTTTCCCTGACCCCCATTTTGGTCACAATGGTGATGTCTCCCTTGTGTGACATCACTTGTCGGGACCTGCAAACAATATCCTCCTCACCCTTGATGAGCACCTAATGGACCAACCTATTTGAGAACAAAGAAATGCTGGACCACTCTAACTACTACTATGTTAGACTACACAGAGAAGCCACTGCAATACACAAGCATGTAGACATTTTCAATAGAAAGGAGCAAACTATGAAAATGAACAAAATATGGCTACCAATATTTTAAAAACTCTAAAATCAGGACAGTAAATAAAGAGCAATGCTCAAAAGCAGGGGAATTTCAGACAAGAATCAATCAGGGCCAGCTAACACCTCCCAACAAAGGATTCCCCTAAGCAACAACTAGCCAGGCTTTGAAGCTGCAAGGCCATTCCATGCTAATCAAGGTGGTCAACATTCACACTTGCCTCAAGCAGACAAGAGTTCTTTCTTCCACCCTGGACATTTCACAGATATATAAACCTCACTTGCCTAGTTTCCAACAGACATCACAACCTCTGAGGATGCCTGCCATAGATGTGGGTGAAACATCAGGAGAGAATGCTTCTGGAACATGGCTATACAGCCCGGAAAACTCACAGCAAACCAAAAGTAAACACTGCCAAGCACTGCTTGTCCCCACTGTATACATCTTCATAAAACTCACGGAAACCCAATACTCTCAATGTTCTTGTGGGGATTTCTGCAGCTTCTGTCTCATATATTCAATGTTATCACCACGGGCACCTTGTCTGAATTCAACCATTTATACAGGAAGCATTCTCAGAGGCCAAAAGTGTATTAAACAAAACTAATCCTTTACTTATAGAAATTAAACATAGGAAGGCAAAGTAATTATTTTTAACCTTTAAAACCCCACATTTTCTCACACCTTTCCCTGTAGCTAACTCAGACTGCCGCTTTTCCCAGCCTTATGCAAATCTCCTCAAAGATTCCACCAATCAGCATTCAGGCCAACCTTCCATTCTCTCCTCCTGTCCACGGCTCCTTACTTCAGGCTCCATTCTACAGCCCATACATTAAACAGTCTTGGTTGAGTACATCCCTGATCCAACATGTTTGGGGCCAAAAGCGTTTTCGGTTTCAGGTTGTTTTGAAGATTGAAATACCAGTATTTGTATATATTGTATGAACATAATGAGATTTCTTAGAGATGGGACCTGGGTCTAAAGAAGGCATGGGCAAACTTGGGTCCTCGAGGCGTTTTGGACTTCAACTCCCATAATTCTTAATAGCCTCAGGCTTAAGCGGCTGAGGGGGGAAAGGAAAGGGCCTGAGGCTGTTAGGAATTGTGGGAGTTGAAGTCAGGAGTGACTTGAGAAACTACAAGTTGCTTCTGGTGTGAGAGAATTGGTTGTCTGCAAGGATGTTGCCCAGGGCACGCCCAGAAGTTTTGATGTTTTGCCATCTTTGTGGGAGGCTTCTCTCATGTCCCCACATGGGGAGCTGGAGCTGGCACAGGGAGCTCATTTGTGCTCTCCCTGGATTCGAACCTCCGACCTGTCGGTCTTCAGTCCTGCTGGTACAAGGGTTTAACCCATTGCACCACCGGGGGCTCACCAATTGTATGGTGAGTCAACATGTAGGTAATAATAATAATAATAACAATAATAATCATCATCATCTTTATTTATACTCCGCCACCATCTCCCCAAAGGGGACTCGGGGCGGCTAACATGAGGCCAAACCCAAAAATAATACAACAAAATAAGATAAAAACAGCAGAAAATTAAACACAACAAAATACATAATGTAACAAAATAAAATAGTGCAAAATAACATAATAAAATCAAACACAAAGGTCGGGCCAAATGTACAAGATAAAATGTTTAAAATATTAAAACTCTGGGTGAGATAGGAAATAGAAAAGTGTATTTGTAAGGGAGGAGTCCGAGAAGGAGGAGCAGTGGGGTTTGGTCTTCATTAAGGGTAGGGGAAAGTGCATCACGTGGACAACTATAGATGAATAACTAACAAATGGGTTAGAAGACGGTCACTCTCCGAAGGCACATCAGAAAAGCCAAGTTTGTATTGTATTGGTCTGCTCCAGTCAGGGCAAAAACCAGCATTTAGGACATATATCATCAAGCACTTTTCTTCTTGTGGGTTTTCAGATATACCTTTGAGCTTGAACAGAGTGCCTGAAAATATCGAGAATAAGATGTTTTGAATAAATATATTACAACAAGCAAAACAAATAAAATAAAATAGGTTTGCACAACAACAAAGCCTGGCATTTCCAGAGATTTTTTTTCTTTGCCTGGAGACAGACTTAAAGAGGATGCGAATATCTCCAAACTCTTGCTGGTTGAAAACAATAGGGAAATGGTTAATGCCAAGGCCACTTTCCCACTCTGAAGGATCTCTACCTGAACCATAAAGAAAGCCATTTTCAGAATTAAAAAAATAAACGTTTGCATGTAACATCTCTTTTGGCCCCTTTGGCTGAACTTTAGTTTGAACTTGGGTCTCCCATGTCCATCAGGTAATCTAGCTGTCTGAATGTTCTTGCATAAGCAGCTGGCTTTACCAGCCTAACCGTGCCGGCAACACTATATTACTGGGATGATACAGGATATTTGGCCATGGTACAAGTAAGCTCTATAGTTGTATTCCCACTCCTTAAATTGGAACTGTCACATCCTTTGTTTCCATTCGCTATAAAGCGAGCTGGGTGACCCTGTGACTTTCAAGAGCTCTAGTTATCCATTGGTAACCTTCTCAAGTCCCGCAAAGTCAGGACTCTGGCTTCCTTGTCATGTGAGTCCCTTTGAGGAGATAGGGTGGTCTATAAATAAATAAATAAATAAATAAATAATTATTATTATTATGGAATGTGGTCTTTTTTCTAAATGCTCAACTGAAGTTTCAAGTTATTGTAGTACTAGAAATTTGGGGACTGAAAGAAAGTTTCATGGGGTGGGTTTTTTTTTCCGTGTCAGGAGCAACTTGAAAAACTGCAAGTCGCTTCTGGTGTGAGAGAATTCACCGTCTGCAAGGACGTTGCGCAGGAGATGTCCTGATGTTTTGATGTTTTACCATCCTTGTGGGAGGCTTCTCTCATGTCCCCGCATGGGGTGGGTGGGCAGAATTAATTCTGGGTGGAAAGTTTTCATTTTGCTCCCCACTCCCCTGCTACATTCTTGACGACATCTTTACACAATCTTTAATGAATGTAACTCAAACCAACCAAATGAAATCATGAGATTGCTGCCTTACACACCTTCCTACTTGATATATGTGTAGAAGGTGATGTCTTACCATCAAAAGGGTGACGAGGTTCTCCTTCTATATCATCCTCTGCCAATATCACTTCTTCTAAGAGAAAAGACGCAATTAAACTGAGCACTCACTAAGCCGGCAAAGAGCAAACTATCTAAATGTTCCCGAAATGTAATAATTAGCTATAGAATACTTTAGAAGTGGGACACTTGTTTCCAATGGAGACTACCAGTATCTTTCACTCTGGCTAGATGAAACAGGAGTTTCAGATCAACAAAACCAAGAGAATAATAAGTTGTTCACTCTAGATTACATGTCTGGATGGAAAGCTGGGCAGGCTAGAAAATACTTTTGCTAGTCAACAGGAAGCCAAGTGGCTTCTTTAGTGGAGTGATAGCCTGAAAAAAGTACCAGTTATTTTCTTTGGCTTGCTCAGTGTTTTCAAAATCACTGTTATAAAAATATGACTCAGGAGAATGCCCTCCCACACCCCGTACTTGTCAGCTCCTAGGACCAACATTATTGTATTTATACAACTTGTAAGGGAAACAAATTCCCTTGTTGACCAATCAACAAAAATAAGAAGCAATTCCTTCTGCCAAAGGGAGTAAGACGTGTTTTATACATGGACACTGCTTTTCTGTTGACACAGAGTGTGCTCTCTCTTCACAGCCTGTGATTTCCTACATGCAGATTTTCAGTGTCAGTTGTATATTGGTACCACGCAGATAGATAGTAAATGGATGTCCTAACTATAACTTATCTGGCTCAACCAAAATCATACACAGAGCAGACATGCCTTTGGTTGGACATTTCAGAGTTCCTTAAGTACTCTGGTGTCATGTAAGCCACTGTCATAGATTCTGTAACTTAACTCACTACATAAGAATGGATTTTGCCCATTATCTAGGACAACAATGCAAGAAATAAGGAATCAAAATCTCTGTTTTTTGTTTGAATTGCAAAACAGCTATGTGAAATATCTAATCTAATGGGGGGGGGGAGGGTAATATGATCTTGAAATAATACATTCAATTGAATTATATATAAAAAGTTGTTTTAAGATCAAAGCGATTAAAAGCACAAACTTCTAACAAGAACCAAATTCTCTCAACCCAATACAGTCAACACTTTCTTCAACTCAAACAGAAATGCTAGTTTTGAGACTATGCCCTATGATACAGAAACATGCTGATCCCTTTCACAATCATTTACAAAAAAAATTATCTACCTGACTCCACTTGCTGATCTAGTAACAAATCACAATAGTGTCCTTAATACAGATGATACGGTAATAACCTTCTGATTCTCAGTGATGGACAGAGATCACTGTCCATATCAACCTCACCCTGAAACTCTTGTCAAATACATGGAATCTCATCTCAGGATAGTGGAAACGTCCTGAGTAATAATGATTTAGCAATTTACAGGGCAACCTGTACCAAATTCTATATCTAGGCTTGATAAAACAGTGTTTCATGTATCATAGCACTGTAAACTGATTCTCAGGAAATTAGCAAAATCTGGGAGGTTGGTTCACATCTCTCTCAGAGTCTTGTTTAAGGTAAAGGTAAAGGTTTTCCCATGACATGAATATATTTACTAGATGTGCACAAACGCTGCAACATCGCACACCTCTAATTAGCCTATGACATGATTTTTCAGCCTTTGGTAGTATTGAGTTTGTTCATCATGACAGAAAGCAATGACATCCAGATTAGAGGATAAAACAACTCAGATTCCAATAGAAAAGATAGAGAAGGGCAACAAGGATCAAAAGAAGAAAGATAGACCAAGAGAAACTGGAAAAGACCTGCCTGCTTTTGAGATCCACTCCATGTAGCCATTGAGCTCACGTTCAATCTGCTGTTGCCTTCTGAGCTTCAGAAATGCTCGGCGATTCTCCACCCGCTCTCTTTCTTTGGCAAACTCCCTATAGATAAAGAATAAATGTACAAGGAGCTCCATTATTCTATCCCAGTGATTCCTAACCTTTGGTCTTCTAGGTGTTTTGGACTTCACCTCCCAGAATTCCTGATAGTTGGCCAGGATGGATGAGGCTATTGAGAGTTGAAGTCCCAAACATCTGGCGACCAAAGGTGGAGAACCACTGCTCTAGCCCAATCACAAGAATTAAAAAAAACAACACAGGATGAAACAAAAAGAAGTCATGGAGCAGACTGAAGTTCACACAATGGATATATTCAGACATAGCAACCATAAGGGTTTCTACAGAATTCAGGTTTATTAATTGGGTGGGGGCAGCATGTAGGTGTATACTAACAGATTACTCCTTAAAGTAGAAATAGTTAAACCAACATTCACTCCTCAGTTTATTCATTGAAGCTGGCAATCCAGAAACTTGGAAAGAAATAAACCAAAAGCAAACAGCAGTTTATTTCCCCGGCTCTTGGAGGGACAGACAAGCCAGACTTCAACTTCCCAATAAACAAGGCATGGAAGGAGGGTCCCAGGTTTACCAGTATTTATCCACTCCTGCTTGCAGTAAGAGCAATCAGTCAGGGTGTCCCTGTACATTCCCATTTCCAGGGAAGCAGAATCTCTCAACATGGCAGTTTTTCAATCTGACTGAGTATACAAGTAATAGAAGTAGGAATGAATATTCCTGCACTGGAATATCACAACTTCTTGTTCTTCCTCTTCCTCTTCTTCTTCTTCTTTTTTTTTGGTAAACCTTCAAATAACAACTGCATGCTTTGTCTGTTAGCCTCTTTAGGGCAGATGTGCAAGATACTTACCCAGAAAGCACCCCCAGGACAAGGTTGAGCATAAAAAAGGATCCAATGATGATGAGGGGGATGAAATACATCCAGTTCCAAGCACTCCCTGAGGCATCATTGCTCTGCAGAAAGAAGACAGAGAGGATGAAATCATGGGGTGCCTAATGTATTTTGCATGGAAAGCATTAATTCACTTTAGATAGGTCTTGAAGTAACCCTTCAAGGCTTCACAATAAGGCACCCCACCAATGGATACACATAAATGAACTATCTGAGGATCATCTAGCTAACTATCATTCAACCTGTTTGCTCATTCCCATCTATTGGCATATCAAGAAATATCAAGAAATGAATGACTATTTTTTCATGGTGCCAGTGGATAGTAATCCACTGGCATCATGAAAAAAATAGTCATTCATTTCTTGATATTTTACTTCAAAAGGCCACAGTATCCTCCAGTTGTTAAATCAAACCTACTATGCAAAGAAAACCACTCTCTTTCATGGGAATACAAGTACCTTTAGACTATGACAGGCATTTTTATTTGAGCTAAAACTAATGGGAAGAGTCGCTAGAGTTCTTCAACAAACCCTTACTATATATATCTTTGCAGAGCAGCTTTGGAAACATGAGCCTTAGACAGAATGGCAGGTGAACAAAACAGGTGTATAAACCCAGCAATAGACGGAAACACATTAAGGCCTGTCTCTCCATCTGCAAATGCAGGACAAAAGATGTGGGTGTATAAAGCAGGTGTATAAAGCCAGCAATTCAGTATAAATTAGATACAAATGTTAAAACAATCATATTTATCTGTCTTCAAATGCCAAGATCCTAAGGCTCAAATAAGTTATTATTATTATTATTATTATTATTATTATTATTATTATTATTATCTTTATTTGTACCCCACTAGCATCTCCCGAAGGACTCGATGCGGCTTACAAAGGCCAAGGCCTCAAAACACAACATAACAATACAAACCTAAAGCAAATTAAAAACAGTTAAAGCAATATTAAACAACAAGCAATAAACAATACACCAGGACACAATAAAACTGGGCCGGGCCAGAGTAATGGGTACAGATTAAAAGTGCTGAAGTGACAGGTGATATGTAAGGATTATAGGGTAAGTGCAGTGTGCCAGCAATCTTAATTCTAATAAAGTGCTTCTGGGACTAGTTGTTGGAGTTTTCCTATTCTGGAAAGGCACATCAAAACAGCCAGGTCTTCAAGTTCTTCCTAAAGACTGCCAATGTAGGGGCCTGTCTAAGATCTTTGGGGAGGGTGTTCCAGAATCGGGGGGCCACCACAGAAAAGGCCCTGTCTCGCGTCCCCACCAGACGCGCCTGTGATGCAGGTGGAATCACAAGCAGGGCCTCTCCAGATGAACAAAGAGATCGTGTGGGCTCGTACACAGAGATGTGGTCACGCAGGTAGGCGGGCCCCAAACCATTCAGGGCTTTGTAGGTAAGCACCTGCACCTTAAATTGGGCTTGGAAAATAAACAGCAGCCAATGGAGCTCCTTAAACAGGAGGGTTGACCTCTCTCTGTAAGGGGCACCAGTTAACATCCTGGCCGTTGCCCGATGGATCAGTTGAAATTTCCGAGCCGTTTTCAAGGGCAGCCCCACGTAAAGAGCATTACAGTAGTCCAATCTAAAGATGACCAAGGCATGGACCACCCCGGCCGGGTCACCCCGGCCAGATGAGCACTCTCTCATTTGCTATTTTAGTAGTCATATTTGATGTTCCTTAAAGATAAAAAAATATCAGCAAAAGAAGGCACAGCTACAAAAATGCTTCTATAGCAACTTATGATCCTGTGAAATCTGGTAGTCTCAGTAAGAGCCCCATATCTATGTGCAGGCCTTTCCATTAATGCAAAATATGAATTCAGAAGTTCTGGAAAAAACATGGGGAACCCAATGTACAAGTCACAAGAGTTAAAAAGAAGAGGGGGAAAATTAAAAAGAAAGCAAAGCAGGCATGTTTCAGCATACTGATGACTATAATTTTAAGTAGGAAGAGGGAAGGGATCAGCAGGTCTCTACATGCTAAAAGGACACATCAGTTGTACCATTTTTAGAACAATGTGGATTTGAACATGCTCGATAACAAGGAAAGACAGTATAAGCTTAAATAACTGGGGACAGAGCACTACAAAACTGCTGTTACAGCAGTTTAAAACATACACCATGAAGACACATTAAACAAACAGAAACAAATAATAAGAACTGAAAACTCCTCCTAAGTGATTAGCTTCTTCTAAGATGAAGAGATGTTGCACAGTTTCATTTTCTTATATAGATTACATGGAATTCATGAAAACACCTAAAATGAAAGGAGTTGATTCAGACTTGTAGGGTCAGTTCCTAAAAGACTCAGAACAGGTATTTCCCAAACCAGCTACACAATTAGAGCTAGAATTAAAACTGTGTTCTCATGCGTATATTAGTGTAGCTGGAAGCAACATGGGAGAATCCATAGTTCAAAGACAGCACATATGTTATATGTGGAAACTTTCAGGTCTAATCATCTGCATCTAAAGGATTTCAGACAGCAGGGCTTGGAATTATCTTTGAGACCTTGGCGAAAAGCTTCTGGTCAGAGTAAATAGTACAAAAGGACACAGACTGATTCAATATAAATAGCAATCTGATTCAGTATATATAAGCTGTGCCTATTTAAATTGAAGGAATTGAAGAGTTTTGATTCTCAGGATTATTCTTCAATTTCCATTGTAAAAATGGACAGGTATAATTCATGAATATCCCCAACACAAATAATGGAGATTATAATGCTTTTTTTTGCATACATGAAAGCTGACCACAGTGATTCATGAGTCATGGACTTGAAACACAGACACCATAGATTAATTGATAATCCCTGTTAGATCATTCATGTGAATATCTATGTGCGTTCAACTCATTTGCAGCCCCAGGAATTTTAGAGGATTTCTTAGCCCAATAATATTAATTGTGATTTGCCAGTTCCTTTCTCTAAAATACCATTTACTGCCCCTGGGATTCATTGGCAGTCTTCTGTCCGAGTACTAACAAGGTCTGATCTTGTGTTTGATCATATTTTTCTCTAATAACTGGAAGCAGAATCTAGAATTCTTGGCTTTGATACTTTTTGTTTTAATTCCTATACACTATTCTGTTCAGAACCAGGAATATTGGTTCGTAGCTAATCTTTTTCCAGTTATTTTCCTAAAGGGAAAAATAGGCAATGAGATGTCTTTATTTTCTTCCTGCCCCACCAACATTATCAACAAAAACCATTTATTTCCTATTCCATGTCCTCGTACGAAATACCTCTTGTGCTGGATTGCTAGCCATGCTTTGCTTTTATGCAAATATTTCTTAAGTAGGATGTAGTTTGCCTCTCCTCTGTGCCTTGAAAGCCAACATTAGCAGCGGGTCATAGGTTTGCCCCAAGGAATGTGCTAATGGAATGAACCCTTTTGTGATGCCTGGCTACTCCACCATGGCTAGAAGGGACTAGAAGAATGGGCTTTGTATGGATTGCAGGTACGTGAGCCACTAACAACTCTTTGTCCCCATTTCTCTCTTCTAAATATAGGCTGAGGAACAAAAAGATCTTTTGCAAAGTGGCTGCTGGTGAACCCCAGCCACCAAGTCAGCAAATATGATTTAGCATGCAAAGAACTTTACAACTGCTTGCGAGGCACTTATAGCAGACAACTTTCCTCCGCCCATCCAAAATGACACTATTGTTGGCTCATGGCAGGTGGAAGGACAATCCAAACCTCTCACAATTCCTATCTCTTCATTTGCATTGGAACTTTTGGAGATGAATGGTATTAAAAGCAATAAAGCTTAATGTCTATTTAGAGCTTTAGATCAGTCAATGGTTCATTATACTTGTTATATACCCCATTTATCCATGCAAACTTGTTATATACCTTATTTATTCATGCAAACAAATGAACACCAGGACAAATGTTCAGTTATTATCACTATAATTGCAGTAGAAGAGGTAGGAGGGAGGCTGTGAAGCCAAGAGACTGTGTGGGTGAACCCCAGAGAAACCTGAAAATTACTTTCCGGGTTTGTTTACAACATCAAGGTCCAGAGATTGTTATCTCAAGGACTGCTATTCTTAAAATATTCATATTTCTTCTCCCCATTTTGCATTATTTAAATATATCGATTTCTTCACATAATTGTTGTGAATTACTCTGCCATTGTCTGCATTTTTACTTGTCCTGGGATTCAAAATCAGTCTTTAATTTCAGTCTTGGTTTAAATCACTAACATTTACATTGAGATAAAAAGCTGACAGGGTGAGAAAGTAGTTAAATGCTAGCTAGTTGACAACCCTGCTGTTAGCAAATGATTGATACCCTTCAACCATCTATTTGCATCTGTTTTTATATTAATCTGTGCATTTAGACAATAATCTGTGCATTTAGACAGTAATCAGTACGTTTAGACAGAAGCTATGTGTATCTCGACTGCATATGAGAGCCATACTGAAAGTAATGTCTGTCAGGTCATAATCCTTTATGAACAATATGAGGCATGTGCAACTACATACTGTATGTGTGTAAAGTAATTCTTTGTCTGATGGCATTCAAAATACTCTCACCAGTGTTGATGTATTTGTGGCAAGTGTTCACTGTTGTCCCACACATGAGAAAATCAAGCAAAATAATTCCATCATCCCAGAAGACATTTATCATAATTTTCTGTGGTGAGCACTGGTGTTTGCATTTCTTTCCTCTAGGGCAGTTGAAGTGCTACCAGTCTGTGCACAAATTTCTGCTCTCAAAGTCATACAGATACGCCCAGGTCTCATCACCAATGCAAACATTGCCGAAAAAGATAGGCTTATAGGCTTCAAATGCTTCCAACACTTCTAAAGACACTTTTCTGTTTCAAATTAGCTGTTAATTTATGAGGAACCCATGTAGCAGACACCTTCCTACACCCAGTCTGTTTGACAGTACTATGACTATGGTCTTCTATCCTCTCTTGGAAAGTTATATGCTGATTTGTGCAAATCATGTTGTCCACCCTGTTTTGGTTTCATTGATGACTGCTGTTGATGGCCTTCCACTACATGGTTTGTTTTCAGCACTGCTTTCACCTTCC